TCTATTAAGGCCGGAGGAAAACATTCGGTGAGTCAGTCTCATTGGAAACTGTGTTATCTAGTCCTGCTGCCAGTGGGATCTGACAGTAATAACTCAGGAGTGATGGTGGAATAGTGTTGGTGTTTGCTGGGTGTGTACATGTAAAGTATCAGCAATATTCTGAGGAGTTATTATTCCTATTTCATGTTGTGTGATGGACTGGCCTCATGTCCAGAGTGCTGTTCATCTATTGTAACAATCCTCATCGATCAATGGATGGAGGTTGTGTGAACATATCATTGTTCTGCGGTGTGACAGGTCAGGAGAGACCTGAGACATGCAAAACAGGAAGGATGGTCATATCGGCTTAGTGCCAGATTTGATGACAGCGTAGCTAGGTTTAGCATTGTGATTGGTCGGTGGAGTCTGTTTTATTGCTCACAAAGACAGAATCAGCTTTACCTGGAGCTGAACTTCCTGCAGCCGCTGCCTGAGGTGAGTACGGGTGTTCAGGTCTGTATTCTTAATGGTAACTGTAAAAGAGTGCTTTAAGTTCAAACTGTCACAAAAATAGTCAGCTGATTTCCAGAAGCGGCGTATGTATGTTCAGTTTTCTTAGTATTAATTATCATTGTTAATACATTATTGTATTGATACTTATTATATATTATTATTATAAATTGTTTTGCAGTCTGGATTTTAGATAAAATGATACATCTACAACACACACAGTTTTTTTTTCATTTAGATTTTTTGTTGTTTTATTTTTATTAATAACTGTTAAGTTAATTTAATATGAACACTTCTTTTAATTGAGTGAAGATTGTTATTTTATTATTTAGCATGTCTTATGAGTCTGTAGCTATAATGTTTCACTTATTGAAATGGTCTGACCACAGGTATTTGGAGGTGCTTCAGTAGAAAAACAATGAGGAATATCCACATCTTCGTCTCCCTGCTACCTGTCATTTATCCTGTCTGTGGTCAGTGGTCAGATCTCACCCTTATTGACTATGTGCACATCGGACAATTCACAATCTGGCAACAAGCTCAGTCGATCTGCAGAGGAAACTACAAAGATCTGGTCACTATCAGAAATGAAAAAGAAAACCAGATTGTGTCAAAGGGTCGGGGCTGGATTGGATTGTACCGAAATGGAAACCAATCTCCATGGAAATGGTCTGATGGAAATGTAACTGCAAACTTTTTTAACTGGGCTGCGGGTGGTAAGCACGACTAACCAAATTAATAAAAAATAATTCTGATAATCCCACTATGGTTTTTAAAGATTCCATTTTTCTATTTTTCAACTAAATGAATAAATCAGTTTTCTCTTCAGGTCTATTTATATTCATGAGAGCAAAATATAATTTAAAATGTTTTAAATTATCAGTATTTTTAGTAAGAAGAGTTCACACCCATGCTAGTGTAATTTTTTCTACCAGACATTGAGAGTTTTCTGAGGCTGATGTAAACATTGATCACATGTATTTTTTCATGTTAATGTTGATGCTTTGACAATAACGTACATTTTTTGTTACATTTGATCTGGCATTCATTGTATTAATGCCTAATTTGTTAATTGATGAACAGAATAAGTCTAATTGTCTATATTTCCATTTCTGTTTCTTATAGAACCACAGGATAACCAGCACTGTACCTTTAAAGTGTCCTCAGGTGACACATGGATAAATGAATATTGCAGTGTTACTCACACTTTCGTCTGTTCCTATGTTACACTGGTTCTGGTGAAGGAGAATAAGACGTGGGATGAGGCATTAGAACACTGCAGGTCTCTGGAGGACACGGATTCTGTAAATCTAACCATTAGATTCTGGAAACACAACTATGACCTGGCCACTCTGATCACTGCAGACGATCACAACTTTGCACGTAGCAGAGCACAGGAGGCAACCACTGGTGAGGTGGGTTGGTTTTCTCCTCTGTGTTGTTGATGACCAACCACACCCCTCTGTTTATGTGAATCTCTGAACTTACTCTTGGTAGGTGTGGACTGGTCTGCGTTTCCTGGGTGATGAGTGGTTGTGGATGGGTGGAGAACCGGTGCAGTACCAGGACCTTTCACGCTGCCCAGCTTATAGGTGTGGAGTCCTGGAGAAGAATGCCAGAACACTCTACGGGTTAAGAGACTGCAGCCAGAAAAGGAATTTCTTCTGTTACAAGACACTTTAAATGTACTGAAAACACAGATGTCATAATTAACCCAACTTTCTCTGTTCTGTAAAACACAAGAATTAGAAAAGGTATATCTCTGGACTTGTTTCATAAGGCTCTTGGCTTGTAAAATGTAGTAAACCAGCTGACTGCTTTGATACCACGTTGGCTCCTCATTCTCGCGATCGCGCATAATTATATTAGATTAGATGGAGTTAACTTGTTTTTTTCTGGACATGTGGGACAGATATTTTACTTTCTAATTCTGTTGCGAGACTTTGTCTGCCACAATGTTGGTGGTTTATCTACTGGAACTGGCCGTAAACCACAGCCTTCAGCGTATCTTATCAGCTGGAAACCTGTGAAATTGAACTTTACTATCCTTATTTTGTCTACTTGTGCAGCTTACAGCTCTACGTGTTAACCATGCTGATGGATTTTATTTTGCAGCTATTTAGCTGTTAATTGACATCTAAGAGATAAACACAACTGTGGTCAATGGTGAGGTGCCGTCTTCTTGCCCTCCAGCCTGGGTGGGCGTGACGTCATGCTTCAATGGGTTTATAAAGGCTTAAAAACAGTAACAAATGTGGCAATATCTAAGGATGGTGTGAATGAACTAAAAAATCGACTAAAAGATGCCCAATAATCAGGTTTTCCTCCCTGTTATTAGAACAGGGAGTTGCTTTCAGTTAGTCCCTTTTGTCTAGCTGTTTATTCTGTAAATATTGAATACAGCACAGTTTTGTTTAATAAACCCATTTAATTTGACGCCTGACACTTCATTATTATATTACACTGTACAGACCTCCACCTTTTTTATTTTCACTGTGTTTATTCCCTCACCCTTCTAGAAAGCCAGAGGGGACATAACATAATGGGGGCTCGTCCGGGATATTTTCTTCCTGGTTAACGTAAATAGGTTTGTATATAGTAGATAGTGTTAATGATATTTAAGTTGTGTTGTGGGGGTCTTATAGTGTGGTGACTGGACTTTTTGTGTAGCTTTTGCTAGAGTTTTCTAGTTCAACACAGGTTAGCCCACTTAAACGGTTTCTCTGAAGGAGTTTCTGGGTGAACCTTCGCGGGAAGCACTTGGGGCCTGCCGCAAGTGCGATCTGGTGGAAGTGGTTGCGCACTTTTGTCTCAGTGGCACCCGCACAATGGTAAAGAAAGAGTTCAAAGATACTGTGATTTCCACCTCAGAAAGCTTGAACTTTCTGTCTCAGAAGGAGACAGGAGACTGTCCTGTCGTGCTGCTGACAGATGACGACCTCAAAGATGGTGATGGAACACGATCGCCTCCAACAGTTCCCGAGGAAGCTGCCCTCGAGCTTCGGACCCCGCCTGCAGAAAATAAGATGCCTCCTCCACCACCAACTTTGCCTTGATATGATCCTATCCAACCAGCCTCTACGCTGAGTTCACTGGAAATTGCAAGACTGCAAGTCTGTCTGGCACAGTTTAATTACGAGGCAGAGGAGAAGCATCAGCTACGGCAGATGGAACTGGAGATCTGCCATATGAAGCTGGAGGCAGAAACCAAGGTTAACCCTCTCAGGCTCAAAATAAGTTTTAAAAAAAGGACGAGCAACTAAGTCCTTCAGGGGTACTTCTGAGTTAAAAAAATGATCATGAAATAAGTATGTGGAGTAACCAGGTAGCTAGATTTTAACGTTGCAAATCTGCAACGCCTGCCTCCAGAGGGTTAAGCTAAAAAACTTGAACTGGAGAGTCAAGCCTTGATGCCACAAGAGATATTTAAAAAAAAAAAAAAACAAGGAGATGACAGAACCAGAAAACGACTACCACTGAGGAGCGACAGAAACTGGACATCAGTAAATGCATTGTGTTGGTGCCACCATTTTGTGAAGTTGAGGTGGACATCCTGGACTTCCTCGAGTGGCCTTGTGACGTATGGACACTAATCCTTCAGTGCAAACTCACCAGAAGAGCTCAAGAGGTAATGTCAGTTCAGGATAGTTTGTATGTGTTAAAATTGTAGTTTTGAATGTATATAAACTTGCACCGGAAGCATACTGACAGAAATTTAGAACCATTCATCCATCCATTTTCTTCTGCTTATCCAGAGTCAGGCCGCGGGGGCAGCAGCCTAAGTCGAGAGGCCCAGTCTTCCCTCTCTCCAGCCACTTGGGCCAGCTCTTCCGGGGTAATCCAAAGGCGTTCCCTAGCCATGTGGGAGACATTCGGATTAAACTCCTCCACTTGGGGCAGAACCTCATCCCTGGCCTGGAGAAGGCATTCTACCCTTTTACAAATCAAGAATGTAAATGTCAATTTATTTCAAAAAATTGTTTGGTTGTTTGTTTGAAAGTTGTTTAAAAAGGTTTTTCAAAAAAAAGTAACACAGCGATCAGCAGTCGACAATGCAATACTCCCTTTCTCAATTCACAGATTTTTTGCACACTTGTGTACTATACACTCAAAGCCTTACAATGCACTTCTCCAAGTGCACTTTGCTGAAGACCGCAGGGCACAGGGCGAGTATTGGAATTAGGCCCAATATAAACATGATAGTAAATGCATTATATAGGACCGGATACATGACAGGATGCCCCCATAAAAGCGCTATGCCCTCTGACGTCCTGGCGGGAAATTGCTTTGCAACATTCCCAGGTAATGGAGAAGTCCGAAAGCAAACCATCTCCGTTAGTGCGTGTCTTTCTCTCGTGGAGCTGACGCAGAAGCATGAATTAGGCTTTAGGCTCCCTAAAATTTCCTCACGCATGTCACGTTTACGCGGAAATCGACTTTAGGCACTTTTTCAACACCATAAAATGTCCTGCTTTTATTTTGAAAGCGTGCCATTGACTAAACCGGAAGTCATTACAACGATCTTTCCGGCTTGTGTTTTGTAAACACAACACACAGCTGGACACGCAATCGTCGCCTTGCAAGTACAGTTATGGTTTGTGTCACCTGTTATTGTCAGGCTCTCTGATTTACTCCGTTTTCTGCTTTCATTTGTCTGAAGTCGGCTAATCTGTTGCTGTTTTTCTCCAAGCTGCTAGCCAGCAGTGGTGTCGAGCTAAGCTAAAGCCGCTCAGTTTTGTTTCTGACCCAAAAAAGAAGTTACACTCTCTCATGGTGGTCGCAGGTCAATGGGGAACTGTCTGTTTTCACAAGGCGCGGATGACCTTTCGCTCCTGAACGACTCCGAGGGGGGCAGCCTGCCCGGAGAGCCGCCGCCGCCTTACCAGGTGAGCAGTCGGGCTGTCCACTTTAATCCGGCCCGGAGATTCAACGCACCCCCTGGGATTTTCATTTGGGTGTATTTAATTAAGTGGTGCTAACTTTTAGAAACGGTGCATGATAAAGTTTAGGACATGAATGGGCTGTGTTGTTGGTTAGAATTTTAAATAGGTGTCTATACAAGTAATCTTTTTGTTAATCTGTAATCTCTCAGCATGTAATCTCAGAATGACACAAAAGCATTAGAAATCAGAATTTCTGACTGCTTTACCTTTTAATTTTAATCTGATAACGTTTTATTTCCGTTCAAAGGCAGATTTATTTTCAGGAGCTGGGTGTCTCAAAGGATAAATCTAATTTGTCCTAATTTTTTAATCTTCTGTCCAGTGGGCTGGTCCATCTTTTCTATCACTGGTCGCTTTATTAGGTACACCATTCTAGTATCAGGTCGAACCTCCATGTGCCTTTAGAACCGCCTTAATTCTTCATGGCACAAACTCAGCCTGGTGTTGGAAACCATACTTAGAGGATCTGTATTTACAGTCTATGATCTGGACCTTATTGAAAAGATAGCATAAAATTGTTGCATCAAAAGCCAAAGGTTCTTTTCTGGACTGAGATCTGGTGACTATGGAGGGCGCTAGAGTCCATGGTCATGTTCTAGAAACTAGTTGGAGATGATCTGAGCTCCCGCTGAAGCAGCATCAGAAAATGGGTCCATGTCATCCTAAAGGGATGGGCATGGTCAGCAACAATTCTCAGCTAGACTGTGGTGATTAAACCAGGCTCAGGTGGTACTAGAGCCTCAACTCCGTTAGTGCCTGCCACGGCTGGGCAATAAATCGAAAATGTATCGTAATTGAAATTTCTGACTAATCGAGATAATTATTCCCATGTCAACAAATTTTATTTGAACGTTTATGTCCCTTTAAGAAGCTGTACCAGTAAGGTAAGCAGGGTTTCCCCCAGAAAATGAGTTAAGCCTGGCGGATTCGGCCGTCAGGGGGGGGGGGTCACGTGCTCCATCTTGCAGCGCTCCTCCCTTGGGGGGGGGGCTGCTGTTTCTCACCAGTATCAGCCACTGGAGGGCTCTAGTTTCGTTGCGCCGTTCCCGTTGGGTCCCATTGTTAAAGTCTTTGGTATGACCCGACCGGGTCTCACATTCCCATTATAGCCCCACCACAATGATTATTTGAATTGCAATGGCTGGCACTCCGTTATCCTGCAAGCTGTTGTGGATGGTAAGGGCTTGTTCTGGAATGTGTTTGCTGGGATGGCAGGGAGTCTGCGTGATGCCAGGGTTCTGAGGCTTTACTCTCTGTGGGAGCTAGCCAGCCGGGGGAACCTATTACCCGCTCATGCGAGGAGGAGCATTGGCACAGTGACAACTGAATATTACAGCCGTGGTGAGTCTGCTCATCCTTTGATGAGCTGCCTCATTAAACCTTTTAATGACACAGGACCGCTGACACCAGTGCAGCAAACATTCAACATAAAACTTTAGTCAAATTTTAAAAGTGCAAGTTGAGGCATTAAAACAAAGTAAGAAAGGTAACTCTCACAAATAAAATGTGCTGCTTAAGATATTAAACAAGTAAAAAAAATAGACAGGTCACTCTGTAAATGTGCAAGTTAAGGCTTTAAAATGATTCATTTTGGGTTGATGCTGCATGCAGGACTGCCAAGTATCTCGACCAAGGCTGAAAAGTTGTGATTAAATGCATCGGTCTCATCCCTGTTGTTGGCTGCTTCTTGCTCTCCCACTGCTGCTTCTCTCTCTCTCTCTCTGTGAGACTTCCTGTCATCTCAGGACTGCTTCCTGTTCCCTGGCCTCACGGGTGTCATCCAGGAGAAGTTTCACCTGGTCACTGCACATTTCCCGGTCAAGGGCTCCTTCCTCTTGAATGGCCATCACCACTGTCCATTCTCTATAACCTTCTTCGTTGCCCTACACAAGAAACCAAAAATTGTTAGACAGTCTCTACCTTCTGGAATGTTAAATAGGAAATCTGTTAAAAAATAATGTATTGGACATGTTCAGGCAACGTGACCTCGGTTGTGTTAGCTGAACACACAGAAAATCTGGGATTAGTTTGATTTCGCACTTTAGACCAGTATGAGACTTTAGGCAGAGGACACATGCAGTAACATGTAACTTCATTATTAAATAATAACTTACGAACATAACTACAGTGGGGCAAAAAAGTATTTAGTCAGCCACCGATTGTGCAAGTTCTCCCACTTAAAATGATGACAGAGGTCAGTAATTTTCATCATAGGTACACTTCAACTGTGAGAGACAGAATGTGAAAAAAAATCCATGAATCCACATGGCAGAATTTTTAAAGAATTTATTTGTAAATCAGGGTGGAAAATAAGTATTTGGTCAATAACAAAAATTCAACTCAATACTTTGTAACATAACCTTTGTTGGCAATAACAGAGGTCAAACGATTACTAGAGGTCTTTACCAGGTTTGCACACACAGTAGCTGGTATTTTGGCCCATTCCTCCATGCAGATCTTCTTGAGAGCAGTGATGTTTTGGGGCTGTCGCCGAGCAACACGGACTTTCAACTCCCTCCACAGATTTTCTATGGGGTTGAGGTCTGGAGACTGGCTAGGCCACTCCAGGACTTTCAAATGCTTCTTACGGAGCCACTCCTTTGTTGCCTGGGCGGTGTGTTTGGGATCATTGTCGTGTTGGAAGACCCAGCCACGTTTCATCTTCAAAGCTCTCACTGATGGAAGGAGGTTTTGGCTCAGAATCTGACGATACATGGCCCCATTCATTCTGTCCTTAACACGGATCAGTCGTCCTGTCCCCTTAGCAGAAAAACAGCCCCAAAGCATGATGTTCCCACCCCCATGCTTCACAGTAGGTATGATGTTCTTGGGATGCAACTCAGTATTCTTCTTCCTCCAAACACGACGAGTTGAGTTTATACCAAAAAGTTCTACTTTGGTTTCATCTGACCACATGACATTCTCCCAATCCTCTGCTGTATCATCCATGTGCTCTCTGGCAAACTTCAGACGGGCCTGGACATGCACTGGCTTCAGCAGCGGAACACGTCTGGCACTGCAGGATTTGATGCCCTGCCGTTGTAGTGTGTTACTGATGGTGACCTTTGTTACTGTGGTCCCAGCTCTCTGCAGGTCATTCACCAGGTCCCCCCGTTTGGTTCTGGGATTCTTGCTCACCGTTCTCATGATCATTTTGACCCCAAGGGATGAGATCTTGTGTGGAGCCCCAGATCGAGGGAGATTATCAGTGGTCTTGTATGTCTTCCATTTTCTGATAATTGCTCCCACAGTTGATTTTTCCACACCAAGCTGCTTGCCTATTGTAGATTCACTCTTCCCAGTCTGGTGCAGGTCTACAATTCTTTTCCTGGTGTCCTTCGAAAGCACTTTGGTCTTGGCCATAGTGGAGTTTGGAGTCTGACTGTTTGAGGCTGTGGACAGGTGTCTTTTATACAGATAATGAGTTCAAACAGGTGCCATTAATACAGGTAACGAGTGGAGGACAGAAAAGCTTCTTAAAGAAGACGTTACAGGTCTGTGAGAGCCAGAGATTTTACTTGTTTGAAGTGACCAAATACTTATTTTCCACCCTGATTTACAAATAAATTCTTTAAAAATCCTGCCATGTGAATTCATGGATTTTTTTTCACATTCTGTCTCTCACAGTTGAAGTGTACCTATGATGTAAATTACTGACCTCTGTCATCATTTTAAGTGGGAGAACTTGCACAATCGGTGGCTGACTAAATACTTTTTTGCCCCACTGTAACAACATAATCTGAAGGCTTATTACAAATGGAACATTTTCAACTTTATTAAAACAATTCACAATAATTTTGCTCAGTGTTGTCCCATGTAAACATCACACTTGGACCCTTACCATAGTTAACTGGCTGCATGCAGCATTCTGTGTGCTGAGCTGGTACTGGTCTGTGAGGTGGAGGTGCTAGCCTGCATGTTTGGCGGCGATGACGTTCGTGCCTGTGTTGAGCCCGCTGAGGGTGGTGGAACATCATCTGGGGAGCCTTGTGGATCATGTTCCTCAGTAGGGAAGTCTTCCTCGCATGTCTGCAGAGATTCTGGAACAAAATAAGCACACACACAGAGCATTGTAGCCTTCATGCTAATGAGCTCATTTCCTCGCGTAAATTGCGTCAGCTTCGTTTCTTCAAACGTATGCTCAACACTGACGAGACTAGTAACTTTTACAGATGGGACTAGTTGTTTCTACTTCTCAAAAGTCACACAACACTATTGAAATACTGAAAAATGCAAGCAAAGCATTGTTAGTGTTGATTCATAGCTTTAGTCCTGTCGGAGGGGACAATAGCGTCAGCCTATTCATTTTAGTTGTTTATTTGAATGTTTTCTCACCATTGATCGGACTAGTAAACTCTACGGACAGAGCTAGTGGCTTGGAATATGTTGTAAATTGCAAGTCACCATTGTCATGGAATCCAGAATCGCTGTAGCTGTGTCCAGGCCGCCGTCTCGACCGTTGCTGGCGTGTCAATGACCATAAATTGCATCCATTTGATCGAACCACTTCCACGTCTTGTGGTTTGATCCGCTCCTTCCATTGTGGTCCGTTATGGTTCAGTAATCACTCCTCGTTTTTTTTTATTTGTCACAACACTGTTTGCTTTTTCTCTGAAATCCGTGAGCCAGCATGAGCTCAGAAAGTTCTTTGAAAACTCTCGTTTTTTCCAAAGGGTTCAAATGAAGGCAGCTGGACTTCTTTGGTTTCTTGAAGACGTTTCGCTTCTCATCTGAGGATTTTTGTCAGTTCTGACTGGAGAGTGACATTCTAGACAGAGAAGGTAGATGGTTTGAGAGAGGTGTAAAGAAGCTATCAATGTCAAATGTGAAAACCCACTTTAAATTGGGGGGGGGGGGGGGGGGCTTAGGTTTCACCTTTCCAACAACTCCTCATCAGGAGATGGAGAGGTGGGGTACCCAGAGTAGTTTCGGCTCATTAAATAACAATAGACAGCTACAGCTTATAAACTTGACTCTCCCTTATTCCAGTCAGAATTGACAAAGCTCCTCGAATGAGAAGCGAAACGTCTTCAAGAAACCAAAGAAGTCCAGTCGCCTTCATTTGAACCCTTTGGATCACCATTACCTGGATGACTAAGAACCTTCACCAGTGTACCTCTTGTTTCTTCTAGCTCCATCTGTATTTTCTCATCAGCCACCAGACACTGAAAGGTCTGCGCCTCACCGTTGCTACAGGGAACTATTTTGGAGTTGGCCATCATCATAGACATGCCCCATGTTTACTTTTTAAAAATGGCGGTTTGGGTCTAGGTTTTTGTGTGTGAGTTGCTGTCAAAGTCATGTGACCCCCTAGCCAATCAGTGATCGACAGCCTTTTGAATATGCATCATGGTACCTACTCTGAGAGAATGGAACTCCTCAGAGAATGGCTCTGAAAATTTGAGCTAGAGCTGATACTTGGTACTAATGGAGCCACGATCTAATTGCACAGATTAAAGTGGTGTCAATCAAAGCAGGTACTAGTGGAACTGAAGCTTAGGGGTCTAAAGTGGTACAAAAACACACCACCATCCCCATTTCACCACCAGCAGAAGCAGCAGCCTGAAGCATTAATACAAGAAATACTAGTTTTGTGTTGGTGACACCAAATTCTGAACGTTGGCACTGAAATCCAAACTCATCAGAGCAGGAAAGGTTTTCCAGTCTCTTCTGGTCCAGTTCTGGAGATCCTGTGTGAATTCTAGCTTCAGTATTCTGTTCTTGACTGACAGGAGTGACACCTGGTGAGGTCTTCTGCTGCTGGACATTATCTGCTTCAAGGTTCAACATGTTTTGGATCAGAGACTGGAGGCAGATTTGTCTTTCAAACACCTGGAACCTGTCCAACCAGTCTCCTCAGACCTCAACGAGACATTTTTATCCACATAACTGCTTCTTCTTCAGACCATTCTCTGTGAACTCTAGAGTGGTTGTGGGTACAAATCCCAGTGGATCATCAGTTTCTAAAACACTCAGAGCAGCTTGTCTGGCACCAACAACCACATCACTTCCAAAGTCTCTTAAATGTTCTTTCTTTTCCATTCTGATGCTCAGTTTGAACTTTAGCAAGTCCTTGTCATCGTGGCTAGGTGACTAAATGCACGGGTCATTGCTGATAGGGATGCAACTATACCACTTTTTTCCAAACCGATATGATACCGATACTTGGATCTGAGTACTCGCCGATACCGATTACCAGTACCGATACTTCTACCATACAAAAAAAGGCAATGATTTGGAATACAGATTTTATTTTCTTCTCTGCACAGGAAAAGACCGTGAGGTAGATAAAAAGTAAAATATATGAATGGAAATCATCACAAAACTAAAATATTAGGTGAGCAGAAATGACAAGTTACAGTGAAGCCATTTTCAAGCAACTGCATTGGTATCGGTTCCTGGTATCGGTTAACTTTTACCGATACTGGTATTGGCATCATATCGGTGCATCCCTAATTGCTGATTAATTTTTTGTGTTGACAAGCAGTTGGACTTGTGTACCTAATAAAGAGGCCAAAGAGTGCCCTTCTGAAGTTGCCCAAGTGAATTCAAATAAAGTGCACACAATTTTTATTATTAAATAAATAAACTTTTTTTTTTACATTGGGTAGTTTATGTTGCAATATCAGATAAATAACTAGAATCATAACAATACATTGTTTTTGGAAGGGTTAAGACAAATAAACCTTTTGTCATAGAGGAGAAAAATATGGTTTCTTGTGTCGAATAAATCGAGTATTTAAGTAGACCTAAAAGAAAAATAAGCTAACCTTAAGTGTGTACCTTATGAACAAAGACTCGCACAACTGCTCAGTAACAGCTCTGACTTAGGCCCTGTCCACATGTAGCCGGGGATCTGCCAAAACGTAGATATTTTTCTACGTTTTGGCCTGTCATCCACACGAAAACGGAGTTTTTTCACACGAAAACGGAGTTTTTTAAAAACTCCGGCCAAAGTGAAGATCTGCGTTTTCTCTGTTTTGGGTGTCTGCGTGTGGACAGACAAAACCGGAGTTTAAAGGTCCGCAACGTCACTTTCCGCGACAAAACAATGCTGACATCACGTGTGCGACCTGTGTTTACACTAGCCGACAGCATGGATGCCCTCAGAGCTGCGCTCGCTTTATCAATTGTCCAAGCGCTTTCTGCTTGTTTGTTTTTGCAAGCGGAATTACTGCTCCTTGCGGAAGACCACGGACGAAGGACGAGGTTAAGAACGGGGGAAGTACTGCCGCCTACAGGTCTGGCATGTCCTTAACAACGTATTTATCCGGGTACGTGTGGACAGTTTTTTTTTAAACGAGGTGGTGTGGATGCAAGCTTTTGGAGGGGTGGATACTCGTTTTCAAAAAACCCCGGCTACGTGTGGACTAGGCCTCAGAAATCAGCCCGCAGAACCCTGCTTACATTTCTTGAGGACCAAAGAGGACCAATGTCTTGACTCCGTCACCACCTTAAACTACGGGAACCTTTTTTATTTGTTTGTTTGTTTGTTAAAAATTCCAGTTTTGATCCCTGACCTGGACTCTGATGCTGTTGGAGATGACTCCGGGTGTTTTGTGAACCTTTTTTCCAGGAGCATGCCCAACCAGTGCCAGTCTTCCATCCCACCCCAGGGGAGAGTCGTCTGGCGAGCCAGCTCACAGAGGAGGAGCAGATCCGCATTGCCCAGCGAATCGGACTCATCCAGCATCTTCCAAGAGGTATCTTTGACCCAGGCTCCGACCCCTCTGACAAGAAAGTAAAAGAGTAAGTTTTAAATGATGGCATTTGACTAAATGTTATACTCGAATTGACCTCAAACACACTGTAGGTGGAGAATTTAGGTAAATAAAAAGTCTTGTCTGTTTCTGTAGATGTGTGATCTGCATGCTGGATTTTGAGTATGGGGATCCCATTCGGTTCTTGCCCTGCCTTCACATCTACCACGTGGATTGCATCGACCCTTGGCTGATGCGCTCCTTCACCTGCCCCTCCTGCATGGAGCCTGTGGATGCAGCTCTGCTGTTAACCTACGAAACCAACTGAGCAAGCCTCAGCAGCTGCTCCTGCCTAGATATGATTGCACCTTTTTTTTCTTAGCCAAAACTGCCCTAGCTGTTCAGACAGGTAGCCACGGTAACACACAGCGCTAACCAGATACGAGTAGGGTGTTTGAGGATACACACAAGTGTCAGAAACTACTGCTACAGAGTGTGCACCGGTCTGGTCTGTTTGGTGTGGGAAAAAGTGCCAAATTAGGGGTCAATGGTTGTTTATCTGATTGTAATCAAGCTTCTCAAAGGAAATCCTCTTCTCTGTTAAGATGTGATGTGAGGTAGTTTTATTTAAACGAGGGTTGTTTGTCCAGACTGGAAAATGACAAAGTTTCAGGTTTAGGTTATTTTAAAGATGGCGGCAGATAGATTTTTCTTAACTTTTGTTTTTCCTCTGAATTGATATGTTTTAATGTCATTATTTTGTTGTTAGTCGACACTGTGGAGTCTCTCCTTTGCTTTGCCTTTGACTTGGTTTTGGAAATCAATCCAGCGTTTCACTCTTTCATGGTCAGAGATGCCATCGACTGTGCAATCCCCCTTAAAGCACTTTGGAATACCCCCGTCTTCAACTCTGTAGAAAGCCACAGATGAATGTGTTTTCATGCTTGTTTCAGAGAATGGGTGTGGAGGTAACGTTGGGGATGTGCTGGCTCAGCTGTCTCTGCGGCCAGTCTGAAGCGCAGGCGTAGGGTTTGTAAGAGCACAACTTCTCTCTCGCCTTTTCTTGTTCGATGCATTCTCTCTTCCTCATAAACAGATCAGGAGGGAAATGAAACTTGGAGCAGAAGATGGGAACGCACCATGAATGTGAAGCTGTTAGCGATACTAACCGTACCAGTAACCACGAGAGGAAGTTTCTGATTTACTGTGCACTCACTGTGCCTTTTTAAAGAACGACACAAGCCAGTTGACGTGAAGGACAATCATTTTTGACTTGATTTAGTTTTTAGTTGTCCTCTAGGAGGAGATGGAGACCAGAACGACACAAGGCCAGGAAACCGGCCTGGCTGCTGGTATTAATGATGTCTTTTACTTTATGTTTGCTAAAAATGCACCAAGTGTAGGAAACTCATGAAAACCACAATAAAAGTCCACACCAGATCATTTTAGTGTGATATTTTGTTTGTACAAACTCGTCGTGCCGTCTGGTTAAAGGAAGTGAAACACAAACCTCACTTATGGGCCATTCCCATCTGTACCGGGTCGACCCGGGCCGGGTAGTGTAGGTTGTTTACATATCTGGGTGGCCTGGTATTTTTCCGGGCCAACCAAGGCTCATTCTCAGCCCTCTTCTCGAGGGGGTCTGCTTCAGGCCGACCAGGGCCAACACACCCACTGCTGACAGCAAATTCACACCTTCCATTAGAGCAAGCCTCTGATTGGTGGGTAGAATCAGCCCACATGGGCTTAAGGCAAGGATGTGTGGAATCAACCGGGCCAGGCTGGGGCCGACTGGGGCTACCCGGCCCGGGCCGACCCGGTACAGATGGGAATGGCCCATAAAATCAATTGAAACTGACATAAAAATCAAAGCATTCAGAAAAAGCTATTGAGAATGCTTTTGAATTGTGGGTTGGCAAAACAATCAATAAAAGCTAGTGATGCTAGCTCTAATAATACCCTCAGCAAGACGTCTGCACCCGTCGACAGGTGTTCTCTTCAGGTCGCTCTGGTCTGACGGCCGTCCTCTCCGGATAAAGAGATCCGGCTAACGAGTCGACAGGAATAAAACCAACACAAACCACGCAGCGGTAAAAGGTTCTTTACAGACTTTATTTCAAAAGGGGCATATTTACAACCGTTATTGTGCATTGAAGGCCTTCTGCGTACCAGTGTGATAGAAGAAACTGTAAAATTTAAGTCATCAGCATAAACAAAAGAATAAATGCAAACTGTACAAATATTACACAAAATTTGCGAAACACGATTTTTACAGTTGGAGTCGGAATTTAAACCGTTGGGCGTTGATAACTCGTGTTTGGTGTTGCTACAACATAGATACCCATACTGATGGTAACCAGAGCAACAACGAGTCCCAGCACCTTCCTGACTAGAGAAAAGTTGGGTTGGGGCAACTGGATTGATCTGGCACTAACTGATTTGGAGTTTGGTGAATAATCCTGCTGCTGCTTTTCAGCAACACTCAGCATCTTCTGTAAGCCGTCAAAGACCTTTAGAAGCCAGAGAACAAACATCAGGGTGAATCATTAACTCATGACAGGTGATCTGGTGCATGACTCCTCTCTCCTTACCTGGATGTTAAACTCAAAGGCCTGGACCGCCTCCTGCAGCACGTCGTTCCTCTCCTGCTCCGTCAGCTCCACGCTGTTCATCCGGCTACGATAGAGCTGCTTGAACAGGTTGGGGCTGGAAACGCCAGGGAAAGCAAAGAAAGACAGGCCATCTCCATTTTTTAGCCCCATGGACTTCTGGGCGATTCGACCGAGAACCTGCCCGCCCGACAGGTCGCCTAGGTAACGAGTGTAAGCGTGGGCAACCAGAAATTGAGGGTTTTCTTCACCGATCTGAAAAGTACGAACACGTGAACAGCGTTCACTTATTAGTAAACAGATGAGTGGATGAACTGCGTGTTGAACGTTAAGGAAACACACCTGTCTGAGTCTGTGGCTGTATCTTTTAGTGGCATCAGGAACAACGATCTTCTCCCTCCAGTCGCGGCCGTAGAAGAACTCCAGGTCTTTCTCGATGGCTTTAAGCCTGGCCAGTTCAGTTGGGAAGTAAATGGGTGCGACGGCAGGGTGGTTGGAGTTCCTGTCCAGGGCTTCCTCCAAGGCCTGGTAGATCTCATACAGGGAGCACAGGAGGAGCTGCAGGGAGAGGAGAGCCCTGGCGTCAAACACAAAATCCCAATGCAACCACCGTTACGTGGAGGGTTTGTGTTACCTTATACTGTGCCAGAGTGACCTGACCCCGCTGGAAGCTCAGCATCATTTCTGTGTTTTCTGCTCTGGTGTGACTTTCTTTTGTCGCCTTTTTGATTTGTTCTGACAAATCCCTGAAGGAGAGAGTAAATCTCAGTCAAATCCGAGACTTTTCAACGCAAATGAAAGAAGTAAAAGAAAACCGATCTAACCTGTCGTCTGTCTGCACGGCTGCTGTCTGGGTCTTCTCCGTTTCCATCGTGGCTCTGGAAAGCTGATCAGAAACTCGTCTTACAGACAAATCATCTTCTCCATCACTGAATAACGATTTAGAAAGTCAATCACATCAACCAAATGCAGGTCTAGTTTTACTCACCAGTTGTGATAAAGTTCCTTTAAGTTCAGATTTCCTTCTCTTCTGTGTGGAATGAAGTTTCATGTGTGCAGCTGCCTCTTTTATACTCAAACCTTCCTGTCTCCTCCCCCCGCTTCTCTATTGAAAACAGGAAACCAGTCACAAGTCTCAGCCAAACATGATACAGCAACTTCAGCAGAAACAGTAGAGGGGAGGCTTAGCATGATGCAGCAGCTTGGAAAACTGCAGAGGAGGGACTAGGGAGCTACCATGAGTGTGAAAATTCCCTGGAAACCCAGAGGGAGGGAGGGCTGAGAGCTAAACATGACATGGCAGGTTTAGATTCTGAGATCAATCCAGAGGAGAGGAGGAGTCGTTCCTAAACATGACTGTGAGTTTATTCTGAGACTGACTGAAGCAGGAGGAGCTAGTGACGGTGTGGGAGAACAATCCCGTGACAACACCCTCTGCTAAAAAAGTCAAAAGGGCAATGTTTTAAAACAGCGTGGAGACTAAAAGCAGGTAGGAAATAGTAGTTTCCTCAGACTGCGTGTGTAATTTCTAAATTACAGTAAATCACTAGGATACAGACACTGGAAATCAAAACCAAAAACCCAAGAAAGGAGGAGGGTGATTGTCAACAATGGGTTTTTCTGCCCCTCAAATTACATAAACAACGTATTCTCTCATTTCAGCTTCTACTAGGCAGCAGCAAGCAACAGCAGATGGCAAGTCTGAGCCAATACTGCTTAGTCATGTTCTCTTTTCAACAGAACTGTAAAACCCACATGAGTGCTCATTTAGGACAAATGTCATAAAATTATAACATTTCATAAACTGATGAAAGATAGAAAAATTTGAGTTAAAAATAAGAAAATAAAAATATTTTGGTAGGAAGCAGATGGGGTGAAAAACTTGCCCTGATATTTTTGATTTTATCCTGAAAGAATGCTAGAAAGTTGTTACAGTGGGACCTTGAGTAAACTGGCGTAAGAGGGACGTGAGGTGAAACGATCTGGTTTATGGTGTCAGACAGGACTTTGGAGTTATTTTTGTTTACAGCAATCAGCTGAGCAAAGTAAGAGGCGCTGGAAGTTTTCACCGTCTCATTCAGAGATGTTATCAGTTCTTTAAATTGCAGCCTGTGACTTTCTAATCTAGTTGACTTCCAGCGTCTCTCGGCTCTGCGGCGTGTCCTTCTGAGACTGTAAATGTTTGGATTAATCCAGGGACTTTTTCTCTTGCTAGAAAAAGTAACCTGCTTAACAGGAGCCACTTTATCTAAGATGCTGCAGCATTGTTTATCCAATGGCTGGATGAACAAGCTTGGATCATCACCCTGAACTGAGCTGCTGTCAGATAATCTAGAAAATCCATCCACCGCTGACTGATTAATGATCCGTCTCTTTGATTTTAGGTTGTGAGGGACAGATTCAACATTAGATAGGACATTAAAGAAAATGCAGCTGTGGTCACTCACATGAACCTCTTCAACTTGTAAATGATTGATTTTTCGTCCCAAAGAGAAAACAAGATCTAGAGAGTGACCCATTTTGTGTGTGTGAGGCCTGAAACGTGCTGCTCCAAGTTAAAAGACTCCATAATAGACATGAACTCCTCTGCTGTGCTACAATTAGGATCATTAATGTGTAAGTTAAAATCACCAAGGATAAAAACTTTTTCTACTTTGATCATTGGACTGGGAGGTCGGTAGATTAAAATACAATTTTGTAACACTGCTTTGATGACCTGACATTCAAAAGTTGCAAAAGGGCCATTTTTCACCAGATTACAGACATGTTTGTCCTTAAAGACCACAGCAAGACCTCCACCACGACGTGTCGGGCGTGGTGTGGTAAACACAGAGCAGTTTGGTGGACATATTTCATTAAACCCTCCCACTGTCATTATGGTTGACCCCGCGAGGAAAGTTGACCAGTGAGCAGGATTGATGGTTTATCCCTTGGGTCCACGTGGCAGGAGCGAACACCACCTCACCCCACCACGTGGACCTCAAGGGATAAACCATCAATCCTGCTCACTGGTCAACTTTCCTCGCGGGGTCACCCATAAAGACAGTGGAAGGGTTTAATGTACAAAATAGCCATCTTGCTGCCACGTCTCTGTAAGAAATAAATAGTCCAACTTTTCTCTGGTGAACAGCTTGTTTAAAATAAAGGATTTGTTTGAGATGGAGCGGGCATTTAACAGGACACATTGAACTCCAATACAAGTTAAAATTATCGATGAAACCAAAACTGTGGGACCTGCAAGCAGACTGAAGCCAGGGGTGGAGAGAGAGCAGACGGCTAAATCTTCCATATCCACGAGAAACTGTGGGGATCGGGCCAGAGATGAAAACAGACATTCCACTGCTCTTCAGAATGTTATTATCTATTTTGGTATATTTTCCTACATTTGGGACTTCAGATGCTATACCATCCTAAGATTTTTAGTTTAGTTTAATTTCTGTTCAGACGCCTTTTGGCTTCACTTTTGCATGAAGACATTTTTACCACCTCTATTTCCAGCTATATTTTGCATCTTGAAATGAAAACATCTCTCAGGGAAATAAAAAAATCCCAGAATATGTACTACATGGAGTATTAATTCAGTTGTACAGAAGCATATTACCGTATGTGCAGGGAAAAAATAAAAGATCTTGTAATAACAACATTTCTTGTTTTAATGTGATAAAAACCTAATTTTAATGAGAACAATTCTCGAAATAACGCATTTAATAACTCATAGTACTGAGAACGATTATAACTGTAAAATGGCGGTTGCATGTTTTGGCGTTCTACTCACAATGAACGAGGCAGCTATTCCAGTTCTTGATGTGAAAACTTTATGAGGTAAACAGCACCAGCTCCACAACAACCGGGGTAAACACTCCTAACAAAGGTGCTTGAATCAACAAATTACGATTGCTAGCTCTCTTTTCTGCCGGCTGAGCCATGCACACCCCGCAGCTCTTCGTAGATTGTGTTTAATTGTAGGCAAATAATAACATTAAAACACTTACAGACTTCCAACAATGAAAGAACATGCAAATGTAATAAAGAACAAATATTCTATGCATATATCGTTTGTTAATGTGAAAAGGTTTCAAAGTTTTTAAATGTGAAAAAGCACAAACAGGAAGTCAACTTTTACTTTGAAAGCTGCACCTCAACTACTAAGTGGAAATACCGCAATTTGCTTGGAAGAAATCGAGAGGGCAGTATGGTGCCCATCTGGTGACATTGAGGTAAAAAAAAAAAAAGTAACTCGTGGCCAGGAGTTGTTAATGCGTTCCCATGAGATATTAATATGTGGCCACGAGATTAAGTATGTCGTGGCGATGTCACGTTGCGGGTGTAGGAGTTGATGGACCATGTGTGGTGGAGCAGATCAGGAGGTAAAGATGCAGGCTTCAGATGAAGTAAAATGGTTTTAATGGTGGGACGGGAACGAACAGCACAAGACAACGATGACAAACAACCACAATGATCTGACAAAGACTGATACGAGCAAGGCCGGATGAACCATATGGGCAACTGGGCAATTGCCCAGGGCCCACAAACTCTAGAGGGCCCAGGGCAGCAAGGGCAAGAGCAAAATACTGTAGGCCTATCTGTAATCTCCCACTTTATATCAAACTAGGGTGACCGTACGTCCGGTTTTCCCCGGACATGTCCACTTTTCACTCTCCGTCCGGGCTTCCGGACTGGGGGTTCTTGTATTGATGAAAATCTCCGGCTTTTCATCCAGGAGCAGGGATCGAATTATGGGGGAGCTGGATATCCTACACATCCAGGGGAGCCGGAAAAAAGTTTCCCACCTATATTACATCGTTTATGGACTCTTCTGGGCAGAGAGCACAGAGAGCGGCACAGCGCTGTGTTGTTGCGCAGCGATCCAGGCTGCTGCTTCCAGCGCACGGTCCATTCTCAAAGTGGCGCAACCAAAAAACTATAATTAGCACACGATCGTTCATGTCCGCACATGTTCTCTACTTTCTGTCTTATTTGTGCCTGAAGCGCGCTACTCCGGAGCTCATCACCTGTGCTGCGGTGATTTCACCTCACTGACGCAGCATCGAAACGCGCTCTCCGCTTTGCGGTCAGGAGATCCCTTTGATCTGCTCAAAAGTAACTGATGAGGTGAAAAAGTAAGAATCCAGGCAGCAGTTTTTCTGGAGAGTTTAGAGGAGATGCAGGAAGATGAGAGACAGACAGGACAGGAAATAGTTAAATAAAAACAAGAAAACAAAGTAAAATGTAGGTAGATTTATCTCCACTACACGTTTTTACCTGTATAAAACAATAAGTTATACACATGTCATAGTTATACATCTGATACAGCTCAGATCACCTTCAACACTCAGTCACACACCCAGGGCCGTTTCAAGGCATTTTGGGGGCCAAGGCAAAATGACCCCTCCTCCCCCCCTTACCTGGGCTCCCCAGAAGCCTCTGTGTAATTCATACCCTCTCCAGTAGTGTTAGTTATACAGTGTTTATAAAAGCCCCTCAGACGCTGACATGTTATCAGATGAAGAACTAAACTATCAGACATGCTGTCTCATCTGCTGCTTTTCTAAACTTGCAAAAAATAACAAAACCATTTGAAAGCCACTATTTGTGGATTCTCTGAAAGTTTCCATGGAGTGTGTGACAACTTATTTTTTCATTGATCCTATCGTCTAATCTCACAGCTGAAACAAGTATCCTTAATAATCGGTGCACAGGAAGCTTACCGATTCTGTAATAAAACATAAGGTATAATAATTTATTATTAATTAAACCTTGTTGCAGCACTAAAGCAGAAAAATTAGATTTTGCAATAAATTGCAAAATATTTACATATGAATTGTTTTAAAGCCCTTTTATTGGCAGAATCTGATATTAATTTAGTTCTTACAAAAAATGGGTCCCAACGTGGTTTGTGTGGCGCTGCCATAGTGTGACGTCATAGGCACAGATCCCCTGTCCTCTTGTTTGGAAATGGAAATATGATCACCCTACATTAAACAAACTGTCCACCCGGGCTTTTGCGCTGCACAGAGACGCTTCGCTGCCTACGACTGAACGTCAGTTGAGAGTCAGTCTCATGCTGACTGACCAATGAAGAGAGGGCCTCAAGTTAAGACCCTCTCCTCATTGGTCAGTCCACACGAGGTGGGTCAAAGGTTACCCTGAGCGGGTTACGTGATGTCAGATATTCTAGTATTCAGTATATTTACTGCATATTACAGTAAAATATTCTGTATGTGACCATATTATGGTGATCCTTGGGTCGTGATGATGGGGCCCTTGAATATTGTTGCCCAGGGTACAACAAAGTGTTAATCTGGCCCTGGTTACAAGGAGGGAGGTATAAATACACAGGGCAAATGAGGAACACATGGGCAGGTAAACAAGGGGCAGGTGAAAACAATAAGGAGGGCAGGATAGAGACACAGTCAGGGAGGCAGGGGCAGACCGTGACAGGCGACATATTAATAACTCGTGGCCACAAATTTGTTTTCTTTCCTCAATGTCACGAGACGGGCACCATAGTGTTTTCTCCATTGTTTTCAAAGAGGAGGAAGAGCTGACGAAAGTACGGAGAAATATGTTCTTGCTTCTTAAAAAGACATATCTGTTTTGCCTTGGCCCCCAAAGTGCCTTGAAACGGCCCTGGGTGTGTGACTGAGTTTTGAAGGTGATCTGAATTGTATGTATAAATAACTTATTGTATTATACAGGTAAAAACGTGTAGTGGAGAAGATACATTTTACTTTTCTAACAGTTTTCTTTGTTTTCTTGTTTTTATTGAACTATTTTCCTGTCCTGTCTGTCTCTCATCTTCCTGCATCTCCTCTAAACTCCCCAGAAAAATTGCTGCCTGGATTCTTTTTCACCTCATGAGTTACTTTTGAGCAGATCAAAGGATCTCCTGACCGCAGGCACGAATCACAAAGACAATAGTACCAGAGGGCATGAACGATCGTGTGTTAATTATAGATTTTTGGTTGCGCCACTGCGCAGAACGCAGCTGCCTGGAGCGCACCAACGATCATTCGCTCAAAGAAACCGGTAGCTGAGAGTCCATGTAAATGATGAAATAGGATGAAAAACCGAACATTATCACCAATACAAGAACCCCCCCGCCCGGACAGAGAGCGAAAAGTGGACATGTCCGGCCTCCTGGTTTGATGCCAGCTCCGGCTTTCTCCACGCAGTTTATGGAGGATTTAAACACGAAACGGGAGACTGTCTTAAATGCCAGACAGTATGCCAGACAGTATTGGTCATGCTACTCTCCAGGCCAGCTGAGCGCACGCGAGGTGTGAGGTGGGTGGGGGTGAGGGTGCGTTCAAGAGTTGGGGTTGCTAAGCTGTTGGCGGGCCCAATCTACCGCCTGGCGCCGCCCATGGTAACGTTCCTTTAATTCACAAGACGCATCAACCCGTTTTAGTCAGTATACTAATACAGCGACACACACTTTGGCCATGTTTTAAATCGAGACGCGTCACTCTGGCCGCCTAAACATGACTCAGCAGAACAGCGGAGGCGGAGGAAGCTAAACGTGACACAGCTAATTCAGCTCGAGGACAACGTCAAGAGACTTTAATGTCGTGTCGTGCTTCGTTTTTTTTTCTTTTTTTTTTTTGCTGTTTTCTACTTTAATTAGAATTAAAACGCAAACGTTAACCTGACCGTCAATGAGTAGCTCCATGTAACCGGAAGTACGTCACGTCAGATTTGTGGATACAACCTTAAAAGTCAGTTTCCGTCGCGTGCTGTGGCTTCTCTATAGTAATGGATGATGGAGCAGATGGAGTCATATCAACACAAGAGCACAACATAATAAACCTTCTGATGGTGGAAGCTGAAGATTATTGCACAGGCAGGTTCAGCAAGGTGAGCTGCTAATTAAAAATAATCCTTCTGCAACCAAACATTGATTCTCAGGAGTAAATATGACTAGAGTTTCTCACAGGTGAAAGATTTTTATGTGAAAGTAGAATAAATAACTCCAGGTGCCATTTTGTAGAAACGAATGGGAAAGACAACTAAACACATTAATTATTAATACTATTATATCTAATCAAAATATGCCAAATTGTTGCTGTTTGTATCAAAAGGAAGGTAGGTCTGATAATCCAGCGCAGCCTATGACCACATTCAGTAGCAATAACTTGATTTTGCTCCATCAGTTTTTTTTCTCTTAAACCTTTAGTCTGTTCACTTCCTGTGGCTGCAGGACAAGATGGTGGTCAGTGCCGAGTTTTATAAGCTGAATGGCTATTTATGTCTTGTCCAATACATTATTATCTTTCGTCAACAACATTTCAAACATGGTTGTTTAAGCATTTAAACATTGGTTGGCCAGACTCTGCTCCACGTTTGTATGAAAATGAGCACATTTCCAGTTCGATGAGAAGCAACAAAAAACTCTTGAGGCTATTGCTGAGGTTTTTCCATTTTGATATTGTGATAACACACACACATGTATGCTCCAGAGCAGAAAACTACCAAAAGTCCTTAATAAAGATCAGCTGATCAGTACATTTAAAGATGCCCTTCACTCATATTTTAACACATTTGCAGTGGTCTCTGTTGACATATTTCCCAGCCTTAGATAAGTGGGGAAAACCCATCTCCTGACCCAGCTGTGCTCCTTTCACTTTAGCTTAGCATAAAACACAGTAAGTGAAGGGATCCAACTAGCATTGTGAGTAAAAAAAGTCCTTAAAATCATTCAGTAGTGAACCTAATTCTACTTGGAGACCTAAATAATCAGACTGACTGCAAGTAGAAATAATTAGTAACAGAGGCGCCGTTTTAGATTTGGGACTACTTTATGACAAAGCTCAGCTGTAACCCAGGCTTTCCACTGGCTGTGAAAAGGGTCGCGTAACGTAATAGCTGCGTATTACCCGCAAGCTCATTCCCAACCAGGAGCAATTCTGATGCGAAACAGGGGCGAAAGCGTTCCACACAGCTGGTCCCATGACGTCACAAAATCACGAGAGAATTGCAACACCACGCGTGATTTCAGAAGTCCACACACAGCTGTGTGCATCAAAAAAGGACTGTGCGTTATTTCCTGTTCTGTTTACATCAATTACAAAAGTTCACATTAAATTATGTAAGGCACGTTACTTTTATTTTGAAAGTTACCGGATGCTCTCCACTGCTTTTGTGTTTTGACTTCCTGTCTGGCTCGATCTAAACTGTGGAGTTTTACTTGTTTTGGAAGTGCAGCAGTTTCATAGACTCGAAACAGTAATGATGGCGTGCCCTCACTTCTGGGGCGTGTCCAAAATGTCGGTGGAAAGGAACCCATACACTAGAACTGAAGCTACTTGCCCCAAAGTGCGTTTTGGGACCGTTCCGTGACGCTTTCATGGGCCATGGAAAGGAGGGGTAAGCTTCCACTGAAAGGTGCAAGGTAGCCCCAAAGACACCTGCTTCTGTAAACACAGATTCACACGGTGTGAGAAGGAGAAACAGCCGGCTGCTACCACTTCAACTGTAGGACAAAATACCGAGTCCCAAAAAGAAAAACACCATTTGAAATCACAGACAACAAAAGACGTTTGGACCTAGAAAACAGTGACTGGTGTTTAGTGTTCCCCTCGTTTCGTCCGGCATCCTGGGTTTCTGGTTCTGGCAAGCTCAGGCAAGACACTGGAGGGGAGGAGTGAGTGATCATGTTTGAATTCAAAACTTGTTTTGCAGTGGCGTGTCCAGATCTTTTAAAATGGGGTGGCCCAGGTGAGGCACAACTTTGTGCATGGGTGGCACCAATGGTTATGCTTTTTTTTTTTTGTTTGTTTGTTTTACCCCCAAGCCTTTTGTGGATAATGAAAAACCTATTTAAAGATAAATTAGTGTGGTGGCACCTGGGGTGGCCAATCAGATTCCAAGGGTGGCACGTGCTACCCCAGGCCATTCCCTGGACACACCCCTGTTGTTTTGTTTGCATATTTGCTATAACGGCGTTAAAGGTACAATACAGCAAAATAATCACAGAGTGTAATGTCTCAATAATGTTGAAAGAAAGGTTACATCAAAGTAGATGTAATCCTCAGCCAGCTGGGTGCTTACCAGTTTTTCTCCTTTTAGAAGGATGGACCTAGTCATTGTTTACAATCTGTGAGGCGGCAGGGTTGCCAAGTCTACACCAGCATTTGTAATCTGAAAAAAAGCTCCAGACTTGTTGAAAGAACTGAAGCTAGTTGAGGGAGCGACCCAGAAGTTTTTTTTTCTCAACCTAAGAAGCCACAGCACCTTTTTGTTACTCTAGTATTGAGTGAAGCAGGCTAGAGAATAACGTTGAGCTAACAATGCTTATGATGAACTAGCAACAATTGTTACTTTTTCAATTACAAACAACTCGATATTACAGTTAAATGTTTCTATCTACTTATCAACCTGTTGTGTATGACTCGTCTTCTAGAATTTTCTGGCGCTGAGCCGCAACTCCCTAGCCTAGTGAACTAGACCAAATTCTTGCTTTGCAAAGTTTGGTCTAGGCACGCTCCATTGGAACCTCAGCAGCTCCTACCAGGACTCTGGCTGGCCAATCACAGCTCTCTAGAGGGGTTTCAAACACATAAAGAGCTGTGATTGGTCCATAATGGTGGGCCAATCATAGTGCTCTATCTGCTTAGTGAACAAATCACAGAGCTTTATCCACTTTGTGGGCCAATCAGTGCACTCTATATGCCTGGTGGGTGGGATGATGCAACAGAGTGAAACAAGAGTATGTCACATTCATTGTCCAGTGGAATGTGGAGATCATTTGAAAGACAACAGTAGAACCCGCCCCACAACCGAGAGCCGTCAATGGAGCATGACCAGACTAAATAATACATTTATTTAGTCTGGCTTGCCAGGCTAGCAACTCCCAATAAACTCATGGAAATGAGAGGGGGGATTTGGTGTTTGCTTTGAAATGGACTGCAGTACCAGAATTCACCACAAGATGTCAGTCTTACATCATACTCCAAATTTTTGCATCTGGCTCCTAAACCCTGTAAAAGCAGTAAGGAAGGGGTTATTTTAAACATCCCTTTTCCACACTCTTGAGTTATTTTACATTCATTAATGACATAATTATTATGATCAATTATCACTTGTAAGTCGCTTTGGACAAAAGCGTCTGCTGAATACATAAACATAATTAAAAACTACCTGGATCATTTCAGTGTGTATTTCCTGATTTCTACAAACACGTTCACCTGCCTTGGTTTTTTTTTTTAATTTAATCTAGGGACATAATATGTTGTGTATTTTGAACATTATCCTATCAGCTGCAGTAGAGTCCAACACATCCTCATAAACAATATAAACTGTCTCACAGACATCAATGCTTAGAAGAGGTTTTATTATGATCTCTCACCTGGGAATTGAAACGGTTTACTTCCATCTTCTATGACTCCTCATTCTAGGACAACTGTCAAACCGCTCTTGCGTCATCGTAGCTAAATGTTCTTTATAGCAATAGTTTTATTCCCCTCTTTATTGGCACACACGGAAATCCTGATCTAATAATTTGTCACAAACTTAATTTGTGTTGCAGCGTTTGTACTTTTAATTTCCAACTGTTTACCTTATTATTCCCTTAATTGCTCCTATTTTTCCATGATTAAAGCTGCCTACGTACATTTTCAGTGATCAGAGATGCAATTTTTGTAACCATTAATTATTTTATTGCGTTATAATGTGGGTGAGCATATTTGAATTAAATTTACCAGCTATTATGTTTTCTGCTATGATTTCCTGATTATTTCAGCATCCCAAATATCTCTAAAATACCCATTTTTCAGGAACTAAATGCGACCTTGAACATGCAAACGCAGATTAATGGTGAGTATAAGTGAAATGCACATTTTAAATAATTTAATATTTGGTATGATTAGTTTTCATTATGCTCTCATTAATCAATCGGTAAATAAAAGTAATGCAGCAGATGTGAGTTTCATTATAATAATGAATGTTTATGATCTATTTAATGTGACCTTCTTTCAGGGAACAGTGGAAGAGATTCTGAGGTGGACTGGATGGAGTCCTCTTGTCCTCCTCCAGTGCACCCGGTCTGTTTGTCAGAAGAAGGATGGGTGATTGCGGGAGAGGAGGAGGTGAAATAATATGGCGCGGTATGGGGGCCAAAATTAAGACTACTGCCCAGCCGCAGGAGGCAATGTCAATTCTGAAGCAAACTACCGACCTGATTAATGATAAGCTGGCGCCGGTAACTGAGAGGCTGGCGCTGCTTACTGAGAAACAGCACCTTTACCGGCGTTACTAATAGATACGCTAGGGACTAGCAGCCCTCAGCTGGTCATTGACTGGTTCACACACTCCCTCTGCTGTCTATTAGCATGGATAGGCTGACATTAGCATCGGAGAGGCTAGCCATTAGCATGCCTAGGCTGGCCACTAGCTGACTAGTGACTCTCCGAGATGGCTAGCCTCTCCTATGCTATTGTCAGCCTATCCATGCTAATGGTCCATCGAGGAGGTAGGAAATCCATCTAGTGGCCTGCCTAGGCACGCTAATGGCAAGCCTCTCCAATGCTAACACCAGCCCGTCCAGGCTAACGTTAGCCTATCCATGCTAATAGACAGCAGAGGGAGTGTGTGAACCGGTCAATGACCAGCTGAGGGCTGCTAGTCCCTAACGTATCTAGTAGTAACGCTGGTAAAGGTGCTTTTCCTCAGTAAGCAGCGCCAGCCTCTCAGTTACCGGCGCCAGCTTATCATTAATCAGGTCGGTAGTTTGCTTCAGAATTTATATTGCCTCCTGCGGCTGGGCAGTAGTCTTAATTTTGGCCCCCATACCGCGCCATAAAATAATGCACATAATATTAGAATTTATTTTCGGTTAAGCTCTTTTAAGTTATTCTATGCACTTATTGTTCAAAATTAAAATGATTAATTTCTAATTCTTACATTTTTTCCCCAGAACAACTTGTTGCATTCATGCTGCCCAGCAGTGGGCAGCCTTATTCAATATTTATTCTAGTTGTCTTTCTCCTTTTGTGTGTCTGACAGAAATGTCCATGTCCCACACTGGAGTACTGGGTGTGTCTAGATCACCATTTCACGATGGAAAGCGGTCACGGAAATGGAGCTGTTGGTCTGTCTGTCCCTCCAGTCTCAGACGCCCTGTTGGTACCAGCGCCTGCTAGTCCTGAGGTGTGCGGCTTCATCGCTGGTACCGGCGGCTCTTCACACAGAGTAAGCGGTTCAGCCTTGGACCCACTCAGGTCTACCAGGAGTCCCACTTCCTCTGACCAGCATCCCATCAGAGCTGCAGCTCACCTTCACCTGCTGGGAGAATCATTGTCTCTGATTGGGCACCATCTTCAGGAGACAAATGTGAGTGGATTGCGTAAATCCTACGTGGAGGCTTTATTGTGTTTTACTATGAAATGACTCTAAGTTGACCTACAGAAAACTGTGTCCATGTCCAGTAGCGTCTCTCTGCTGCTGGACTCTCTGCTGTGCGCTCTGGCTCCACTTATGAGCCTCACAACTCAGATTCCTGAGCTGACGAGCTGCACCGAGCACACGCTGGTGAGTTAACTGTGCAAACACACCACACTTACATGTGTTTTGTCTGCTTTGGGGATTAAATATCCTGTTTTCATCTGATTTGAAGGACTCCTCTCTGGAGAACATAGCTTTTGTGATGCCTGGGCTGTAAATGAAGACGGAAGATTTCTCCACCCATGACCCTTTGGGGGGTTTCCCCCCATAAATTATGTCTAATGTCATAAGTTTATTCTATGTGTTTACTTGGTTTATTGAGCTATTTGATAAAGCAAAGGTTGATTTACGCAATAAGATGATGTTTTACTTTTAAAGGCATTAGATGTGTTGACTTCAGAGCTCAGACATCACATGCTTTAGTTCAGAAACACCAGTTATTTAAACCATCGGACTTCTAAGTAAACACAGTTTTTTTACTTTGTTGATTTTTGGACAAAATACAAGAACGGGTATAAATCTAAAATAAATCTGTGTTTAAATCCACGAGGAGATCGACACAATCTGTTTATGACTAAACATTGGAACTAATTGTTTTTATTTCGAGGTAAGTATTTGTTGAGGGAGCAGCTTTATCGTTTCATATTTGCCTAAAGCAGGTTGTTTAATTTAGTTCTGTGTATTTATTAGATAGTTAAACCCTGTTAATGTTCCATTTGCATTGTGATTTTAATATTCATCTCCCAGCTGTAGAAAAACCTATGAAAATAACACGTTTTTAATATCTTTTTCAGTTCTTTTTACACAATTACAATTTTATGTTCTATGACTTCCTGCTGAAATGATTTAATGTCTTCAACTATTGAAGTGACAAAATATTTCATATTTACAAACGTTCATACTCCCAAACCTTCGATTATACATCAGAACATCAGTAACATAAGTAACAGGCCTTTTAAACTTTTCGTATGTCCCACATTAAACACTGTGCACACAGTGATACACACGATGTTTCTGTAAATAACTTTTCAAGATTTTTTTTTCAATGCTACTTGTAGTTTTCAGACAGACTGTATGGGGCTTAGTTTTTAATCTGAGAGAGACGGGGTGTGGTTACCATGGTGACCCTAATGAGCCACTGGCAGCATTTATTTTAGAGATGCACTGATTCCGAATGTTTGGGGCTGATGCAAATTTCTGATTCTTGTACAGATGCAAATTTAAAAATCTAATAAAATAACCAGAATACAGAAAAGGTACTACATTACAATCATAGAAATGCCTAATAAATAGTTTATAGATGTTATTAATGTGCTTATTATGAATTTGGGCAGCAGTAGCTCAACAGGTTGAGCGGGTTGTCCAGTAATCGGAAGGTTGCAGGTTCGATCCCGGCTCCGGACAGAGAATTCTGCTGTTGTGTCCTTGGGCAAGGCATTTAACCCACCTTGCCTGCTGGTGGTGGTCGGAGGGACCGGTGGCGCCTGTGCTCGGCAGCCTCGCCTCTGTCAGTGCGCCCCAGGGCAGCTGTGGCTACATCGCAGCTCATCCCCATCAGTGTATGAATGTGTGTGTGAATGGATGAATGATACACTGTAGTGTAAAGCGCTTTGGAGTCCTTACTCTGAGAGGTGCTAAACAAGTGCGGGTCATTTATCATTTATTAAGGGTAAAAACAAACACTTTTTTTTGCCAATTGGTGAGCCGAATCTGTTGACCTATAAATGTTATTGAGTTGCAATATTAAAGCTGTTATGAATCTACAAACAAGCTAGGTTCTGAACACAAACACACGGTCACGGAATCCCCCTTGACGTTTACTTGGAATTGTCCCTTTAAAGGTATATTCCACCCCTGAGTGAAATTTAGTCTGCCGTATTTCCCAGGATAATCAGGATAAAGCATTTTGTGGCCAGCTCAGTCATTCTCCTTATCTGGCAGTATTTAATTTGCTTGAGCTTAGCATAAACAATGTAAGTGAATAATAACAGCTAGCATTTTGTGTGGAAAATGACTCAAAACCAAAGTTTTCTTGGTAAAGGCTAAATTACAGTTTGTTGTTTGTACTGTAGGGCTTGGTCCATTACAATAACCTTTGATAGTTTGTGGCAGTGATAAATTATAACAACCCTAGATGAAACAAATAGTTTAAAGATATTTGGCAAGAAACTGATCAGTTTTGTTTCTTTCTCGTCCTTAATGGTGTGAGCAACATAATGATATTTGGGTGACACTTGGGTGATCACCAAAACCAGAACCCTTCCTAGAGTTGGCCGTCTGGCCAAACTAAGGGTAGCCAGTCTGATTATAATGGTAGAGACAAAGGAATTCCTCAAGGTTCCTCTTTAGAGCCTTTTTTATTTTCAATTTTTTTTTCAACGACCTTTCATTGAGCTGCTTAAACTGTGATATTCATCTCTATGCTGATGATACTAGTATCTATTGTGCTAAATTGAATATCACAGATATAGAAATTGTTCTACGACATGATTTTAATAGTATTCAGCAATGGTTATTGACTAATAAACTTATTTAAATAGCTCAAACTCGTATTCAATGCTGTTCTGTAGGAAAACTGAGTCATTCCAGAAATAATCTTAATTTGTCTCTGCTTGAACCATTTGAAACATTTAAATACCTAGGTATTTGGTTGGATATAAACACTTGTACCATCTATAATGAAGCAACTTAATTTCCATTCTAATTCATTATATCAATCAATCAATTAACTGTTTCACTTTCCATGTCAGGAAAACAATTATTTCTCAGTGGCTCTTACTAATCTTAGATTATAGCGACATTCTTTATCAAAACACCATTGCGACCTGTCTTCACTCCCTTGGTGTGGTTTTTAACAATGTGTCCATTTATTCTTCGCTGTCCCTGTAAGACACACCATTGTTTGATGTACGAACAGCCGTCTCGGCTCTCACTTTCAGCTAGACGCCAATATCACTAGCTACAAGTTCTTATATTCATCCATTACAATTTTCCGCTGTACCTAACATTTTGTACCTTTTTAGCTCATCTTGCAGGAAACAGTTTCCAGAGTAAGCAGATTAGTGGATAAATATTATAGGGATGTCCCGTTCCGATATCAATATTGGAAGTAATCCGATATCGGCCCAAAAACACTGTATCGGATTATATCGGACTGCATCAAAAATCTCTGATATAAGCAGTACGTTAAGGTTCACATTTTTGAAACCAATGGTTTAAAAAAAATTGTCATTTTTTTCATACTTGCTCTTCTTGGCTCTTGTTCTCCTATTGAGTAATATCATTTGATCAAGCCTTTCATACATTCCACACTACAAAATAGGTAAGTGTGTATGGTTTGTGCCGATATCGTATCGGATTGATATCGGTATCGGTCAGTACTGAAGGCTGCAAAATCAGTATTGAATCGGAAGTGAAAACATTGTGTCGGGACATCCTTAATATATATGCTTTTAATGTTAAAGCTCCCCAAACCTGGAACAGCCTCCTGCAGACATTAGTACTCTCAATTCTTTTTATACTTTCCGAAAGGCAATTCTAACCTATAATCAGAGTACTAGCTGTTGTAAATGCATTAATTTATTACTATTATCGTTTTTGTTAGTATACAAATTTGTTTTGAACATTTTGTTAGTGTTTATGGTGTTTATTTGTACAACAATGTACACAGGGCTTTCTTTGTGCTTTGCTGTAAAGTGACACTGGAGATCTAGGGGGGTAGGGTGAACCATGCGAGTTGGTCCAAGTGTGTGTGTGTGTGTGTGTGCGCGTGTGTGTGTGCGTGTGTGTGTGTGTGTGTGTGTTCTAATTACTATGATTGAGAACATATTTCTTGCTTTCATTGATTGCACATGGTTTTTGCTACCTTCTGTTGCTTTTCTTTGCTCTCTTAATCTTGTTTAAGAGGAGCCTCGTGAAAACGAGATGACACATCTCATGGAGTTAGTCCTCCTAAAATACATGTTAAATAAATAAATAAAATCCTGATACTGGAGTGACGTTGGGGTGATCACCCCTCTTCCCACAGCCAGCCGGCTATTTTGATGTAACGTTTTTGGGGGTGCACCATGTGATGCACTCTTGCCATTCGAGCTGCGTTATCGTCAGCGGGAGAATAATCATAAAGAACAAGTTCTACGGTGAAGAACATCTGCCACAATTACAGGTCCCGTAATGTTTTATTATTATGTCTAATTAAATGTCACAGAATAATTATTAACATATCTCTAAACTACTTATTACCCATTTATAAGGGAGCTTCATAAACACAACTCACAGAAATGATGATGATTCTGGAAGTGTTACTAGCATCGATTACCCCAATATGACCAGGGAAGCTAAAGACAAAGTTTGATTTGTTTCAGTCACCGGGCAATAATGTTCATCTTTTACTTTTTATTTTCTCACACTTCTTATACTATTTATACATAAAAATTACAGGCATTTTTCGTAACTTGTATAATAAAATATCAACTTTCCACAAACATTCAGAAATGTTCTAGTCTTTAAAATAACTAGACGACGTTTACGATTGTTGTTTTGTTTTTTTTGTTTGTTTGTTTTTTGGCATTTTTCTGTAATTTAAATAATAAATCTAGCAGCTGTCTTGTGTGTTTCAAGGTTAAAGAAGAACCACCAAAACTCCATTATTACACCTCAAGTGTTTTAGACAATATGTCAAACAGAAACTCGGTATTTTTCCGTGACTTTTTGTCTGATTAACACACACCATCACCAAACTGAAGCTTCTCAGGTTTATTATCTGTTTATGTTGTAAACCTGTGAAATGCCCTGAATGCAAGCTACATATGGCAACACAATATTTACACCCAGCTTTAAAACTACAGGAGATACGGTAAATAAAACCGAGTGATTCACTCGAGTGGCTAGTTTCATCCTCTCCACCCCGTTGTGGAATGCTCAACTCCCTGCAGACAGAGAAACCTGTTGTACACACACACCCACACACACAAACAGAGTTACAGGTGTTTGTCTGCTTGTGTGGTCAGAAATGGGAGTGGATTGATGAAGATATGAACCTCACCTCAGCTCCTACGTTTTAGTAAGCGATCGAGGAGCGAGGCTGTGTGGATGGGAGAGAGGATTTGGCAGCGCCATCGACCACAAACACACGAGTAAGTATGTTTGTAAAATGCATCAATTCCAAGGTGATCTCAGAGTAAAAGGCATCTAAGGGATGTTGAGTGAGGATCAAACCGGCTATTTGTGGCACTGAAGCGATTTTATTATTAAGTCAGCTCTTAATCCAGGCCTTTCTGCCCTGGCGTGCGTGGTCTCAGGGTGAACTTACAGCCCATCTTTGTGTGATCAGTTTGGTTGTTTGCATATCGGTCTAAATATAATACAAACGTCTTGGCAGTATGTAGCTCGACTGGATAGACGAGGTGTTTATCGAGAGGCGGCGTGCTGTTCCACTGAAGCGATTGTCTCCACACAGATGAACCTTTTGTTATCGCTCTGATGAGTAACGGTGATGATTTTTAAAATTGAGATGTGCCTACGTGACCGTTTAATCCAGGGGTGTCATACTCACTTTAGCTCAGGGGCCACACTGAGGGAAATCTAGTCCCAAGTGGGCCGGACCGGTAAGTTAAAAACAACTTCAGATTGTTTCATTTGTTTTAATACAATCAATATAAAACAAGGCTGGAGCCTGAGGACAGTGTATCCAAAATAGTACAAGTACAACACCTGAAGTGTACTTGAAAATTTGAGGAAAATAAATAAATGAATAAAACATTCCTTAGTGATTCAGAGCTTACAGATAACATGGCTAGATCAGTTTCATGCAGCACTTAAAATATATTTGACTCACTTTACTTTACATCTTTTAGCTTTCACCAGAACATCAATATCAGAAGTCACATCCTGAGTGGCAGCCAACTTCAGGATGTGATTCAAGTTCTTGTGTGAGCCTTGAGCGCAGCTTTGTTTTATTTATACTCATTACAGAGAAAACTTGCCCACAAAGATATGTTTATTTTCACTCTACATTGTAAAGTATGAAAATAAAGTTTACACAACCATCTCGCGGGCCGGATTTAACCTGCTTGCGGGCCGGATCCGGCCCGCGGGCCGCATGTTTGACACCCCTGGTCTAATCTCTTGTTTCAGGTATGAGTGAATACTTGACCGAAATCACCTCAGACCTGAGGTTGGTGCTTTTGGGAAATATCGGGTGTGGGAAGACGTCCTCAGGTGACACTATCCTGGGCCAGGTGTCTCCCGTCTCCTCCGTGACTACGCGGAGCTGCACGCTGCGTCAGGGCTACAGTGATGGCAGGAGCGTCACCCTGGTGGAGGCCCCACGATGGTACTGGAACGGCTGTAAAATGGAAGACGGCGTCAGAAAGGAGACGGCGCAGGCGATGGCTCTGTTAGCGCCGGGCCCTCATGCGGTTCTGCTGCTGGTGCCTGTTAACCAGTTCACAGAGGTTTGATGTTTTCTGCTCCTTCTGGTATACTTCTTTCCTCGAGTATTAATTATGAAGAGAGTCCAGGTGGTAATTCTGGTCCTTTGTTCCCAGATGGAGGGGCGTGTGCCCGCAGAGCTGGAGGAGATGTTTGGGAAGGAGGTGATGGATCACACCCTGGTCCTGCTGACCTGTGGAGACTATCTAATGGGGAGAACAGGAGAGGTATTCACATCCACCTTTTGGTAGAACCTCCTGTTAGCTCGTTTCACCAAGTGCTTCCCTGAGACCATTTCCTCATCAATTAAGAAGCAAATTCTAACATCACAAATGCAAATTCCTTTCAACCAAAGTACTTTTCTACAGGAGTACCTGCAGAAAGAACACCCGGGCCTGAGGCAGATGATAGAGTGCTGTGGAGGGAGGTACCACATCTTCAATAATCGTCAGCAAAAGAACAGAGAGCAGGTCCATGAGCTGCTGCAGAAGGTAAACACTCCAAATGGTTAACCCAACTTTGACTGAGCCAGTCAGCTGTGGGGAATGCTTGCGATGCTTCCCGGCTCTGCTAGTTCACATGGTGAAGCTCACGCCCAGCTTCACCCATGAATTGTTTGGAAACTGATGATCCTTTAAATACCAAGTGCAGAAGTTCTATTGTTGTTTACTGCTCTGTTAGTAAATAACAACATTTAGGTGATAATTATGGTCTTTCCTCATAGAAACGTTCTGCTGAAGCATTTGTCTTTGTCTTGAATTCATGCCAACATTATTTAAATGATTTTATCTTTGTGATCATTACACAGGAGCCTGTCTTCATTCAGGTTCTGCACAAACCGCTTAGACTGGATTTTCTGCCCCCTCTGCTCCTGCGTGTAATTACCTGTTTAATATCTAAAACCACTCGGTGGCCTGGTGGCTGCCCTGAGACTGGGAGGTCGTGGGTTCAGTTCCACGGTCAGGTCATACCAAAGACTTTAAAAATGGGACCCAGTGCCATCCTGCTTGACACTCTGCATTAAGGAGTTGGATTGGGGAGATGAACCATCAAATAGTTCCAGAGCGCGGCCACTTCTGCAGCTCGCCGAGGTTTGATGCTGCTCGCCTTTCCCAGAGTCGGGCTCTGAGCCTCATGTGCCACCTTCCTGAGTGGCTGATATGCGGTAGTTAAGGGAGACCAGGCTACCCTCAAACTGAAACACTGTCCCGCGCTGCTGACAGTTTTCAGTTTAATGTTTAAATCTTACATAAACTGTTTGTGAGGAGAAAGCAGTGACTGTCAATCCAGCAAGGAGGCGGGACTTAACGCATGTCTGGAGCACAAACCACAACAATAAAAGGAAACGACAGAGACACTGGGGAGGTAATACAGATGAGTAGGTGGCGAAAACTCTGTTTCATATAGACTGAAGACATTTACTGGTGGTTTAAGCTTTTCTGGGCAACTCTGACGGTCTGTTTGATCTTTTTCAGTAATTCTTCCCAGTCTGACAGTAAAATTTTTAAAGGAGTCCACTGATCTCAGGCTCAGGGGGAGAGAGGTCCAGAGTCTGGGGGCCACAGCAGCAGATGATCTGTCACCTTTGGTCTTTAGCCTGGTGCTGCACGACCAGTAGGCTTTGATTACTGGACCTCAGGGACCTGCTGGGGGTGTAGGGACTAAGAAGATCACCAATGGTAGATGGTGCTTGTCCATGTAAGGCCCTATAGACCAGAACCAGGATCTTGAAATGAACCCTGAAGTTGACTGGCAGCCAGTGAAGCTGGAGGAGAAGCGGGGTGATGTGGGTGTGTTTGGAGGACTTGGTCAGAAGCCGAGCACAGGCATTCTGAACCACCTGTAGACGGTTCAGGGAGGTTCTGCTCAGACACGTGAAAAGAGAGTTACAGTAGTCTAAGCGTGAGGTGATGAAGGTGTGGAGAACTGTCTCAAGTTCAGAGCGAGACAGAATGGGACTCAGCTTAGCAATGTTCCTGAGATGGAAGAAGGAAGAGCAAAAATGAGAACTAACTTAGGAATCCAGGGTGAGAGCTGGGTCAAAGGTCACACCAAGATTCCCGACAGAAGGTTTGGTGGGATAAGAAAGCTGACCAAGAGAGTCTCTGACTTTGGGAACCAGCTTGTCTGGGGCACAGATGAGGATCTCAGTCTTATCTTCATTCAGCTGAAGAAAGCTCCCAGCCATCCAGGTTTTGATGGAGTCTAAGCAGGTGTGTAACAGCTGCAGCTTAGACATCTCATGGAGCTTAAAGGAGATGTACATGAAACAACGCCAAACCAAAGAACGTTTCAGAGCGAAAATGGCTATTTTGTTGCTAATTTCCAGGAAATATCTAGAAGAAAGTTCTACAGAAAGTAGCTAAGGGTCCTCAGAAATGTAGCTAGGTTTGTCACTATGCATTGGGAACAGCGACAAAATCGCTGAGTTGGCACTGCCTCTCTCTCTGCTGCTAAAGCTACTGATAGCAAATGCTACGGGCGATGCCTGAGCGTGAACGCGCATGAAGCAGCCTGCTCGACCCGAGCAGCTCTCTTTTTCTGTGATTTTACAGAAAAACAGGCAATCACAGTAAAAATGCCAGGGCTCATTCTACAGGACCAGGGCATTGCAGGAGAATGTATGAAGAAGAAATTTATGTCTATTCATGTTTTGACTATCAAACTTCCTTAGAGTCTCTTTAACAAATGTGGTAATGAAATTGTGTTAAAATGTACGAAACTGGAACTAATCTTGCCTGTACGGGCAGCTGAGTGCTCAGCCCCCTCAAACTTCTGATGCTAGAATCGCCCCTGGGTTTGTTTAGCTTTCAGTAAAGTTGCCCTTTGATGTGCAGCACATTGGGGCGTTTTTAAGGGTTTTCCCCATTCTGATATCAGGTAGCTCTTTTATTATTTTTTCATATTGTAGATGAGTTAGGGCTTCTCGCTTATAGTGGAAGAGCTCAATCCCGATATTTGTGGTCAGAATTAAAAACAAGACAATTTATCTTATGGGCCATTCCCATCTGTACCGGGTCGGCCCGGGCCGGGTAGCCCCAGCCTGGCCTGGTTGATTCCACACATCCTTGCCTTAAGCCCATGTGGGCTGATTCTACCCACCAATCAGAGGCTTGCTCTAATGGAAGGTGTGAATTTGCTGTCAGCAGTGGGTGTGTTGGCCCTGGTCGGCCTGAAGCAGACCCCCTCAAGAAGAGGGCTGAGAATGAGCCTTGGTTGGCCCGGAAAAATACCAGGCCACCCAGATATGTAAACAACCTACGCTACCCGGCCCGGGCCGACCCGGTACAGATGGGAATGGCCCATAAATACTCATTCGATTTGGGAAAGCTGTCCAGAGTTCACATTTTAAAGAGAATGCCAGCAGGTGGCGGAGTTGTGCTGTTTAGTTGGCGATAAAACTACTTTTAATATAGAATCAACTACAACTATTCTAAGACCGTTTAGGCCTATTCAGGGTTTAAAAAATATTTTTTTTTATAACATCCAGAAAGTGTAAAAAACTGATATATTGAACTTGTCTCTTTCTTTGACTGATGAGCACCATGACTGCTATAAAAGCAAATGAGACCTGCTACTGAAGTCTGAATGTCCAAACAGGTTGTCAGTGCAAACAAATGTTCTTTTCCAGAAGCTTTGATTCTTAGGAAAAGAACAACATGGAAAAATTTCTCCAGAAGTGACGCGGCAGAACGTATGGAGGTCATGACTTAAAATAGTATACAAACACTCTGCCAGTGTGTTTTGGCCTCATTCTGTCACTTTCACCTACTCTAACCTGTGAACACAGGAAGCATGTAAGTTTAGTCTTCAGGTGAGACAAAAGTGAGCGTCATGCAGAAGACTTGAGAGGAATGTGACAGAAAAACCATTTGCTGCTTAGCCCTAAGGTGAGGTATGCTTGCCTGATGGGGGTGAGGATTGAGGACAGGGGTCAGGCACTGGTTGTAAACAAGCACTTCCAGCCCACTGATCATAACAACATTGAGTGAGGCAGTTTAGGCCATGTGTTTTCTTTGATTCTTTCAGTCAACAGCTTTGCTCTTTTCTTGACAGGTGGACAAGATGGTGCAGAAAAATGGACCATACAGCCTGAGATCACCCCAGGAGAAGGATCTGGATAAACGGGTGAAAGAACGAAAGCGGGAGCTGATGGAAAGTTACCAAGCTCAAAAGGAGGAGAGAAGAAAGACAGTTTCATCACAGAGCACTTCCAGCACAGACCACCTTTACAAAGAAGACAAGTCCATGGGCCTCCTGGAGAGGAGGGAGAGGTGGTGGAAAGAGCCAGACGAGATAGAAGGAAGACTAGAGGAGATAAAGTCCAATGGGCTTCATGCAGCTCCGGTACCGGAGCAGAAGACTCAGTCAGAACCACAAGATGAGTTCACCAGGACACCCAGTTTCAGACTGAATGCAGGTAAACTTAGGCTCTAAACCCAGTGTTTACCTCACCTCTTCTATCAAGTTTAGAGTAAACAACACAGGAAGTTATGATAAAACTTACACAGCAACCTGAATCATCTGATTTCTCCGGTGATAAAAAGCGGAGTTTCCTCGTTTTTCCTCTAGATGGAGCTGTACTCGCACAAATGTCTGAGGACAAATCCACACCAAAGATGGTCTCTACTCGTAAGTTTCCAGAGTTTTCCATCCTACTCCTCCCTCTCATAACGATCCTTTAGAATTATTAATGAAATCTAGGTGAAGTTTCCTCATCGCCTCTGACATGTACCTGCTGATTTCAGTTTACCACAGGATCAACAGCTTTGACGAGGGGACGCCCGAGACTCCCCCCTCGTCTCCCCATTCGCCCGTCTTCTTCCCCTCTCCCTCGCTGTTGTCCTCATCACCCCCTTCAACTCCCTCCTCCTCCTCCTCCTCCTCCTCCTCCTCTCTGCCCTCATCCTCTCCGGAGCTTCGCCTGGTATTGCTCGGGCGAGCCGGATCAGGAAAAAGTGCAGCAGGGAACCTGATTCTTGGGCAGGAGGTGTTCGAGTCCCACTCGGACAGCTTCACAGCCATCACTCAGAAGTGTGAGAAGAAGAAGGCAGTGGTTGAAGGAAAAAAGGTTCGTGTTGATTTAAAAGCTGCTTTGAGCATATTTACGTCTCTAGAAGATATTAACAAAAATGTCTCTTTCTTTACCGTCTTTGTGTTTGTTGTGATCAAATATGTGTCACTCGGCTCATCTTCTCACGTTTGTTCCTCGCCTACAGGTGGCGGTAGTGGACACCCCTGATTGGTTCAATTCAGAGCAGACTCCAGATGAAGTCCAAGCTCAGGTCTTCTCCTGCGTTGCTCTGTCCAGCCCCGGCCCTCATGCCTTCCTCTTGTGCGTCCCCGTGGACCAGTCGGCCAAGACGGAGCTGCAAGCCGTCTCGGCCCTGGAGAAGGTTTTTGGCCCAGAATCGGTCCAGAGGCACACTCTGGTCCTCTTCACGTACGCAGATCGACTGAAGGCCAGCGGGAAAGCAGAAAACGTGGAGGAGTACATTGCCAGTGAGAGGAGCGATTTGTTAAAACTTGTCGAAAAATGTGGAGACAAGTTTCACATTCTGGAGAAGGGAGAAGGTTGGAGGGAGAAGAAGACTGTGGCAGAGCTGTTGGAGAAGGTGGAGCAGATGGTGAAGGCAGCTGGAGGACAGTGTTATTCTTGCCCTGCTTTTCAGGAGGCTGAGGACAAAGTGAGACAGAGGCAGCTGCAGCTTGTGAGGGAAAGAAGGAGCAATAGGCCAGAGACGATCCAAGCAGGATACGGTGGACAGTTCCACTCAGAGAGGCAGCTTCTGCCTCTGGTAGAGGAGGACGTGAGGGAAGATGAGATTGATGGAGTACGGGACGAGGCAGAGATGAGCGTGAGCAAAATGAGCATCGAGAGCCTCCCTCCTGTCAGGTCTTCCTCCTTGTCTCCTTCTCTGCTCCGTTCTGTCATGGAGAAAATGGAGTTGACCGCCAAGACACTTCCTCAGCTGTTGGCCGATGGCTCGGTCTGGGTTGGAGAGGGAGCAAAGACGATGAAAAATAGTCCCATATGGGGAACAGTTGGCACTGGTGCCCAGAATGTCCAGAAGCTAGTGGTTGACAGCTCTGTGTGGGGCAAGGTGGGAGCCACTATGGACCAAGTGTCCAAAGCAGTAGGAGATAGGGTTCCCCAGGTGGTGGTGGATGGTTCCTCGTGGGTGGGTTCTGGAGCTACAGCAGTGGCATCAAGCCCAGTGTGGGAGATTGTCAGCTCTGGCGCTAAAACTGGAGCTAAACTGGTGGCAGATGGTTCAGTGATGGTTAGATCTGGAATTGGTGCCGGTGCAAAGAGGATGGCACAGAGTCCGGTGTGGGGCAAGATGGGTTCTGGGGCAAAAACAGGCGCCAAAATGGTGACAGATAGTTCAGTATGGGAGAAAATCTGCACCAGTGCTGAGCAGGCTCCCAAAGTGGTGATTGGGGCTGCCATTCTGGGTCTGTTGCTTGGTGTGGTTTTAGCTGGGGTGATTGGTGGGGTTGTCGGGACAGCTGCCGGTTCTGCTGTAGCTGAGGTGGGCAGACGTAAATTCAGCAAGAGAACCACACCAGAGGAGGCTACAAATGTTGAGACGGCAGTGGAAAGCCGCACGGACGCGCTGGTGAAGGGAGCTAAGAGCTGTAAAAGTGACTAAAGGACAAGAGACCAAGGTTTAGTGAGACTTTATGTTTGATCACATTCAGCTCAGGTGTCCGGACTATCTCTGTAAACATGTATAAATACAATCTGCTGCTGGAATCATCCCAACTCAGATCATCTGTTTATAAAACCTTTGTATAAATCATCCATCTCCTGTCTCGCTGCTTATTTCTGAAATTATATTGAAAATGCAGATTTGTTAGCAGTAATCTGGAGTTTTATTTGTATGCTCCTCCAAATGTAAGTCGAGGTTATTTAATGAGTGAAACTTGTAAAAATAAACAATGTTGTTTCTGTTCCTCATTAAAGGCCGGCTTTATGAAACCACTGGGTGTTAGTCTGCTCTTGGTGTTTCACAACTTCACTATAAATTAGTGTCGCAAGTCTTCTAAGAAGCTTTCCACTCTTACACCCTGACTTTGCTTTTGGGATTGTCGTTATTAAAGCAGCCTCGTCGGTTTACTGGACGTGTGTCAAACAGATTAGTCTAGATGACGGATGAACTTGATTTTTTTAAATTTTTTTTTGGTCTGGTGCGGAGGCACCAACATTATCTCTGAGCCTCAGGTTGTGAGTGTGACCCAGTTTGGCCTCCTGTATCAGGAGGAGAAAGGCGGAACACCCCAGCTGTCACAGTCACGGCTTTAGGATGTCAGTTTCTCCAACTTTTAGTAACTATTAGTGACAAATTATTGTTTTTATTGTCTCTGGATTCTTAAGATACTGAAATGGAACCCCTACACCAAAGAAGTGTCCCGCTTCCCCCTCCTACTGGTTGAGAGTGGAATTACAATTCTCGTAAACAACTCTACTGCAGCTAACAACAAGCTAATGGTAACATGAGCCAACTGATACTAAAAAAGACATGACTTGGACAAAAGTATTATGACTTACAACTCCAGTAGCAACAAAGCCAGGTCACCATCAGTATGTGATTTTGTAGCCTCCTTTAGCTCACCCAGGCTAGTGTAGGCTGCTCCGACATTCACTCTGGTTTTAGCTTTTTGCTGCTACTCCAAAGACACTATTACTTTTACTTTCAAGCTCTGCTGTGATGCCAACTGACGAAGAAAACTACTTTTTCTTGCTAGCTGCTAGCCTTCATGTTAGCTACCAGCACAGTAAACAGCTATTTAACATTGAGCAGGTAGACCTTCCACTAGTGTTCCTACCACAAAACCGTTAACCCTCTGGAGTCAATCCACACTCCGGCGCTGGTTGTATTACTCCCATTATTACGCAACCAGGAAACCACTTATCATTATTACAGCTTGTTTTGACAAAGGGGCTTAAAACTAAATAAAAGTTGATTTAACATGGTTCTCCAAGTAAAAGTAAGACATTTAAGGTCAATAATTCATGCCAAGATAAAGGTCACATTCGATCTGTGGTAGATGCAGAGCAAAATTCTGCTAACGGAGTTATCTGTCGGCTCTCGCCGCTTTTCACCGTAAGCTAGGACTCTGGAGTCAGGAAGAAAAACAAGACCAAGTTCATCCTATAGGCTGACATAAGAACCAGATCACTCAATCACCAAATGATGCGTAAATAGTTGCTAGGCGCAGGAAGGGAAAACTTTCTGCTTCAGGGAGTGTGCTTGATGCTGCCTCCAGGTGGACAAAGTCAGAATGGACACCCACTGGATTTGTAAAGCCTCTGATGTTCCCCTGTGGGTTATTTTGAGGCTTGGCACACATAACTGTGGCTTTTTGGTCATGACAACTTTCTTGTAAATATATGAATATTGTGTAAATGTAAATATATGCATTTAATTTTGTGGCTTGCTAAATCGGATCCTGTCTCCTGCTGGACATTTAGCAGAGGGAGACAAAGTGTGGAACTCCATTTTCAGCATATCAGCCATTTTACATGAAAAACAACCGAGGCGTGCCTGGCATTTTTATGCAAAAAAAAAACTTGCATTTAACAGTTGTTTGCTAAATTTGACCTTTTTTGTGTTTTACCCACACCCTATAGTTTTAGTCTGAGTGCTGAAAATGGTTCGTTACAAATGTTTGTGGTTTTCACTGCAATAAATATGTAATTTTTTCTACTCTGATTAAATTTTTTTTTTACTTTCAGGTTCAGTGTGCTAATACAGTATGACGAAATGAAGGCATTACTCTAAATAGGCGAGGTTGTGCTCAAAAGAATGATACCAAACAAGGCATAAACAATAAAATATTGAGTGAGATATAAAGGTGAACACTAAAACTTGTCAAAACGGCTATTTATACCACCGACTCCAGAGGGTTAAGTACAGCCTCTGGTCAGCAGAGGACGACAGACTGGTGAACAATATAAAGTAACTGAAGTTTATGGCTCAAGAAGCACTGAAACCAGTTTGAAAACAATAGCTTAACATGTTAAAAACTCGTGTTGCTTTAAATTCTGCTTAAAAAACATTGACTAACACTGCTAATAGTTCTTTAAAATGAAATCCTTACTGCTGTGTCAGAGCAAAAAGCAGCAGGAAGTGTGTGTGTGTGGTGTGTGTGTGTGTGTGTGTGTGTGTGTGTGTGTGTGTGTGTGTGTGTGTGTGTGTGTGTGTGTGTGTGTGTGTGTGTTGGGGGCAGCTTGGCACATCAGAGCGGGCAGCAGTGTTGTGAAAGCAGCTCTTCCTGTTGTGTGATCCTGAAACTGGGTGCACGACTGTTCCCAGAGCATTCTGATGGCTTTTTTTTTTTTGTTTAACCCGCCCACTCCACCTCTTCTTCCATGTGGTGTTTGCAACACACCCGAGCACCTCCAGCACCCCTCCTCCAGGAAGCTGTGGGCCATCAATGAGGCAGCGCTAACTGTAGCGGTTTCCTGGACTCTTGAGCCATCTAGCCCGCAGGTTTTCACTTTCCTCCACCTCGCTCCACCGTCCCTAACCACATCCATCCTGACCTTCCTCTCACTCAACCGCACACCCAAACTGTTGCTGTCGTAAATCTTTGGTTACGTCTGCATGAAACCCATCAGGTCGTCCACACCTACAGAACGCACACAGAAACATCTCCGGCGTTTCACAGATCTCGTACAATTCTCGCATCTTCAATTTGACCCTTCAGTTAAAGCCATGAGAATCATCTCTGTCCTAAATGTCCAAGTAGGTATCAGTAAATGTCACGAAGAGTTCGTAACAAATGGACACACAATTTGAATATTCAAATCTAAAAAGGAGAATTTCCATTTTTAATGCTCTCCATCAACTTCTCAATTCTGACTTTTTAGTAGTTGTGTCAAGCCTGAGGTTCAAATCCACTCTAAGGATCCACAGTGTTCCCCGATCTGTGAGCACCAAACATTTGGATGTGTTGAGTAATCGTGCTGATGGCGAGCGCTGTTTGGAGCTCAGGAAGAGGATGTTAAATGAGGAAGAGCAAGCTCCACTGCTGTCTGGTTCGTGCGCGTCAGGGTTGGAGCTTCAGGCCCGCTTCTCAACAAACGGACGTTAAATATGAACGTATGCTTCTCCTCACTTGTGCACATGGCTCCGTGTTTACCTCTGATGATGGTTTAATCGGCATGATTTAAAGTTTCTCATTTCAACGTTCTTGATATGTTACACACGTGTTTGACGGTTTATGCCGTGGACCCTGAGTTTAACACATCGTTGTGACCTAATTTGGATGTAAAGCAAAAGAACGGCTACTTGTTTCATGCCTCGGTGCCTCAAAGCGCATTCTGATGTTTTATTAAAGCGTAAAGTTGAACACTTATTATTGTCACACAGCTGAAAACCACATAATCTCTCTCATTCATGCTGTCTGGGAGCTGACTCTTCCGTTCATCTCCTACGGTCATTGTTTGTCTTTTTTTTGTCACCGCTCATCATTTGTGGCGGCCATTATCCCTATCTGACCCTTGACCTTTACCATAATACCATGGGTCACCAGAGAGGTCTTAGCCCCAAAGCTCTCCTCACTGTCCGTGTCTCCGTAGCAGCTTGACGTTGCTGGAGAATTAGCCAAAGCGATGACAGAGTCAGTTGAGTCTCTGTGGGTTGTTGCCACGGCAATGGGGCGGGATGCTGCAGGTGGTGTGTTACACTGAAAAACAGTCTTCTGTCTGCTGCCGTCCGGCCCTGCCGCGGTGCTCCCGTCCCCAGCGTCCTCCCCCCCAGAGTCCCTGCTCTTGTCCTGGGCCTGGTCTTTGAGCATGTTGACCAGAAAGTTGATGTACTTGACAGCCAGACGCAGGATCTCATTCTTGCTCAGCTTCTTGTCGGGCGGGTGTGTGGGGATTAGTTTCCTCAGTTCAGAAAAAGCCCCGTTCACGTTCTGCTGCCGCCAGCGCTCTCGGCTGTTGGTGAAGACACGCCGGGCCAGTTTCTGAGGCGGACCTGCTGAAACACGTAAACGGAGTAAATACACCCGAATACCATCAAATTCAATTGGATTATCATGTCAGAGTGGGACCACCGTGTTGATGCATGCACATGCATTATTACAGGATCGTGTAGCACTCATTATTTGTGGTGCATGCACAACGCAGCAGTTAGAACTATGATTTAATTCTGTTTCAGTCACCTAAACTAGATATTCCTATCCATTTCCCTCTTCCAAACAGGTTTTTGCATTCTTCAGCTTCTTATTCAATTCAAATGTGACAATAAAACAATCATTTTCAGAAATATTTCTTGTAGTGTTCACTCGTGCTGCAGAAACAAACAGCAAAATCAATATAAACTCACCTTCACTGATCTCCATCTCAAAATGTGACGACGGCCTCCTCTTGATGCGGCTGCTGTTGATGACGCTGTAGCTTCCTCCTGAGGGTCCCAGGTAGGAGCTGGAGATTAGAAACCAGAATGACATGGTAAAAATTAACACTTTCACCAAAAGTCAGGAGGGATATTTGGAGTAAACCCTGAGGAGAGATGTGGAACAAATGCCGGTGAACGCATGCATGTTAACTTCAAAAGAGATGCTGAAATAAATACTTTCATGTTGTCACTGGGACGGACAAGAGATCAGTCAGTTTTGCAAAATTGTTGCATTTTAAAATGTGTTCAAAAGTTGTTGTAGCTAAAGCAACTGCAACTGCATCGCTATGATGTGTGCTGTGATTGTGCACTGGATGTAAAATATCAAATTTGTGGAGTTCTGTGCATCCGACAGCAGCTGTTCCCAGCTGCCCCCCTTTAATGTTGGTCTAGAGCCAGTGGTGCCCCCCGGGGAGTGGCCAAGGGGGGCCATGGCCATTCCCTGAAAATGTCTGCCCCCCTCCTGACGGAAGACCTCCGTCTTTAAAGGGACACTAGGCAGTTCTGCTTGTTTTTAGTACCCCCTAGTGTCCATTTGTGAAGGTGAAACCAAAATCTTTACCAAAATCTTCTCGTTGTGCGTTTGTCTTTTTTAACACCTTAATCTAACAGCTGAAATGTCTCTTAGTGTTCCTAAGTGTCTAGAACTAAATTAAACAAATCAGCTGGGTTCATGAACTTAAACATGCAGGAAATGTGCTGAAGCCAGACAGCAGTGCCAGGTAAGTCAGCTCAGTTTTTTCTAAGTCCCAACAGACCGGACCGGCAACTGTGATGTTGCAAGTGCGATGTTCTGGCCACAGGGGGCGATAGGGAGCCTAAGTCACTTCCGCATCATGGGTCCCCAGCATCGACATACATATATGGACAATGGGTTTCCATAGGCTCCAATAATAAGTTTTTGTACTAAAATGGGAGGTGGCCACCACCGCCATTTTGACCGTGTCACAGGTTCCGTCAAGCCCAGACAATTCCATAAAAGGGAAGAGAGGCGGAGCTGAGGGTGGGGCTGTAAGGCAGGGATCAACTGACGACACCCGGTCGAACTAGCTACAAGCTAACCTGAAGCTAACCCAAAGCTAATGAGGAGGTGGGAGCTAAGCTAACCGAGGTAGCAACCTAGCTACAACCAGAGTTAACTGTGCACAACACCAGAGCTTCTGAGTCAGAGATATGCCGGGCTGACCGCTGGGTAAAACCGGGTGGAACACAGAGGTCTCGGAGAGCTCCACAAGCCGGCAGCCGCACAGCAGACAAGCGCCGCTGCGATCTGAGATGTGCAGAGCTGACGCTGGGGAGAACCGGGTGGAAAGGTTTCCATCCCAGAGCTCCACAAGCCGGCAGCCCGCGCAGCAGACAGAAGCCGCGATCAGACAGAGATGCGCCGAGGTGGAGAACCGGGTGGAAAAAAAAGCCAGATGTTTTAAGCCTTTATTGTTATAATTGTGACGATGTTGGCTTACAGCTGATGAAAACCCCACATTCAGAGTCTCAGACAATAAGAATATTGTGAAAAAGTTCACTATTCTAGACTCAAAGTGTTTCATTCTAATCAGCTATTGAATCCAGAACATCTGCAAATGGTTCCTGAGCCTTCAGGGGTGTCAAATATGCGGCCCGCAGGCCGGATCCGGTCCGCAAGCAGGTTAAATCTGGCCCGCGAGATGGTTGTGTAAACTTTATTTTCATACTTTACAATGTAGAGTGAAAAAAAACTTATCTTTGTGAGCAAGTTCTCTGTAACAAGTATAAATAAAACAAAGCTGCGCTCAAGGCTCACACAAGAACTTGAATCACATCCTGAAGTTGGTCGCCACTCAGGATGTGACTTCTGATACTGATGTGCTGGTGAAAGCTAAAAGATGTAAAGTAAAATGAGTCAAATATACTTTAAGTGCTGCATGAAACTGATCTTGCCATGTGATCTGTAAGCTCTTTAAATCACTAAGGAATGTTTTTTCATTTATTGATTTTTTTTTTTTCAAATTTTCAAGTACACTTCAGGTGTTGTACTTGTACTACACTGTCCTCAGGCTCCAGCCTTGTTTTATATTGATTGTATTAAAACAAAGAAAACAATCTGAAGTTTTTTTTTTTTTTATTTACCGGTCCGGCCCACTTGGGACTAGATTTCCCTCAATGTGGCCCCTGAGCTAAAATGAGTTTGACACCCCTGCTTTAGATGGTCTCTCAGTCCAAGCTGGATTACTAACATAAATGGACTTTGTACCATGTTTCCATGTTTGCAGTTTCACCTGTAAATTAATGAATTATCATTTAAAAAACATAAATATACGTTTCTGGCCAAACGCTCCCAGAGCTACCATAAGAACCAATTTGTTGCGCTGTCCTAAAAATGTCACTGGTCCCATCTGGCCACCCAAATGAAACTCTTCTGGGGCACCACTGTCTCGAACTGCCAATGATTCCTAATTCTCTGCAAACAAATGTTACAGGAGACTGTGTGTGTGTGTGTGTGTGTGTGTGTGTGTGTGTGTGTGTGTGTGTGTGTGTGTGTGTGTGTGTGTGTGTGTGTGTCAGATCTCTCTGCTGTCTCAGCTCAGGAGAAGAAAGAACACGGTTTTGTTCAAAGACCTCCATAACAGATGGGGACGCCATGAATGAATCTGCTTTAAAATGTTCTGCTCCTCTACACAAGGGGATGCTTTTCATTACATCCTGTGTTTAAAAATAGTTCTCCGTGGAACGGAAAATAAAAGAACGATCGGGGCGGCTTTGATGAAGACGGCAGGTTGATTCTGTTTTAATGAGGACAAAGAGGAAGTCCCAACATCCTGGAGCTCCTCAGTTTGATTCAGTAAGAAAGAGAGAATGCATTGTGTTGAAACGAAAGTTCTCCGTGATATTTTGCCCTCAACACACCTTCGCCGGTCTGTGTTGAGTAAGTGAGAGCAGGAGAAACAGAAACTTGGCTTCGGCTTTGACACATCTAAGATTTCAGGAAGTTAAAGTTGTGGTTGGTGTTTAGGTCGACTGGCAGTCCGGAGGGTGAAAACGGCCGAAGTTCACTACGATTTGAGGGACACTTTGAGTTTTGTGTTTCAGAGAAAGAGGCGGGTGAGCTTATCGCCACGGTAACAGGCTCCTCACTTCTTTCAGACACCCAGAGCATCTACCAGCCCCTGCTCACCTGGCTGTCTCATTTAAACAATCCAATCGATGACTTCCAGGATTATCCTGTCATTCCATGTTTTTTCCATTATTCACTCATTCATCATCACACAATGCTAATCCTAACACAGATAATCTGGTTTTAATGATCCTGTTATAGTCTGCACATTAATTCATCAAAGTTATCAAAACAACAGGATTCTGTTTGGAATATTAATGATTTAACAGTTATTTACTGTAACCGTATTCATCAGGAACATTACATCTGAGGGATATTTTCATAACTCAGCCCAACGTTGCTACTTTTCACCTTTTCTGTACGACTAGCGGTGACGCTAAACGTTGCATTAATACTGACTCAGAAAATTTTATTTTAACTCAGCCTCACTGTGCTGCCATCAAACCTTTTGTTTCTTATGAATGTACGTCTTTACCCTCCAGCTGTCCTATCGGGTGACCCCTCCAGGACGGGATGGTTCATCCCTTGGGTCCACATGGCAAAAAGCAAAGAAATAACAAAGACTACTCTGAACCGAGGGCCTGCTGCAGCCGGATTCACCTAGAAATAGAGAAAGGCAAGCTAAAGTCACAACAGCGCACAGTTTTCATTGGATCCCACCGGACCCTTTAAATGCTCACGAGAGGTCTCGCCACACCTGGATTAGTGGAGAAACTGGGAAAGGAATGCAGGAGAGCTGACTTTCTGCTCCAGTAGTTGCCATGGTGATATAAGGCATCAGCACGCCACCGATGATGATGAAGATGGTCTGAGAAAACCGAAATCTGAATGTAAAATTCAGATTTTCCCTCTCAACCACTCAGAGTTCAGGAAGAGACCCAGAGTTAGCTCCGCCTCCTCTCGGGGACACCTTCTGACAGTTTCATGTTTCTCTAGGTAACTTTGAGGTTTCGCGTCTTTAGTTGTGCTTCAGTTCTGAGTGTTTTAAAGCAAGCCGGGACTGGAAGGGTTAGGGTTTGTAGAATGGCTTCCTGTCGTTTGCTGAATCAGAGCCGTCTGAAACAGGAGAGCTAAAGTGGCCTGAGTGTATTTGATTATTTATTTTTACTCCATTTTATCACAAAGTTTTAACCTCCTGAGATTTTCCTCTCTTCTGTTAGCAAACATAGAAAGTTCAAAGTTCAATTAAAAAAACTTTAAAATCATTCAAATAAAAACTTTTGAACGGGATGAAGAGTTATCGTGCAGGAAACCAACCTCCTAGTGGAGATGTGGACATTTATGTTCACAAACACTCGACACAATCAGTCTCACCTGGTGAGGAAGGGGTGTGCGGGCAGGTACTGCTGAGCCAATAGGAGCCCGGAGGAAGCAGCTGATGGACCTTCAGGTAATCCTGCAGCTCCTGCTCCGACCACGGAGAGAGAGCTCGGCTGGCTGCGCCGGATCTCCCCCAAGGCTCCGTGGATGAGGTTAGGAATTGGGTGGAGGGCAGTCAGAGGGGTGGAGGTGAGTGGCAAATGAGGCTTGCTGTGACCGAGGCTGATGACCGGAATGTAAGGAGGAAGAGGTGAAGAAGATGACGATAGAGGGGCAGCTGTGGCAGAGGCTGGAGGTGGCAGAGGGCATGGGGAAGTCTTGGCTGGCGCAGGGAGGAGTGGAGGTGGAGAGGAAAGACCTGGTGATCCATCTGTCCGAGGAGCACAGCTGGAGGGGGATTTTAATTCTCTGAGTCCCTCCACCTCCTCCTCCTCCTCCTGCTCAGTCTCCACGATGACAGGATCAGGTGCATCAGCTGGACCAGCTTGGTGACTGGTTACCACCGTTGTGAGGATGATGGGAGGCTGAGCTGAACTGGTCATGTTTGTCCGCTGCGTTTTCCTCGTTTCATCAGTGGGATGAGAGCTTTTCTTATCGTCCGAGGATGCCGAGGCCAGGTTTTGAGGAGGACTGTGCTGCCGTGTGGATGCACAGGAGGGTGAGGAAGCAGGAGAGGACGAGGAGGATGAGGAGGTGGGGCGAGGAAGGTCAGGTGGTGAAGCGAGTGGAGCAGAGTGCTTCAGCTTCTCCATCATGATGGTGATTTTAGTGAACAGCTGTTTAACATTGTCCCCTGCTTTAAACTGAAGATCTCATGTCCACCACACAAGTGACATCTCTTCCTGCACTCAGCTCTTCCTTCTATCGTGAAACTTTGATCATTTTAAATCCATCAGCTGTTCTTAAGACAGATTTGTGTCCGTTTTTACGTCCCACTCAAGACCAAAACTACATTGTTGTTTCAGGTGTCCTCAGAGGACACCTGGTGTCCTCGCTTTGCTGACAATTCAAGTGTCGTCAGCTTTTAAACGGAAGGTTTTGTTCTGAGCTGTCCACTCAGACGTCTCCGTCGTGCTTCAGTCCAGGTTCGGTTTGGATGTCTGTGTTTTCCTACAGATCATCCTGAGTGCTGGCCTTTAGTTCTGAATGAGCCCCTGGTGGCAGCTCCTGAGTCCGTGTGTGTGTGTGTGTGTGTGCGCGCGCACGCGCCCTGAGGATGTGACTCAAAGTTCTTGCAGGGCTAAAAGCCCTTCAGATCCGTGATGACTGGACTGGATTCAAAGAGCCTGTTGAACCAAAGAAAGATTAAAAAAAACTCTCAAATCACAAAATCGTTCTTTTCAACAGAAAATTGTAAAAAAATGAAATTAAAATAAATTGTGCCTGAAAGCGTTTCAGCCTTTTCTCAAACACAAAGCTATTCCTTTGAGGGTTTTTCATATAATTTAAAATTAGAGCACAGTAAAAAATAACCACCTCACCACTGATCGGACTGGCAGTGAGAAATTCACGCCTCTACTTTTATTGTATTTTATTTTTCCACTGAGAAATGCAAAGCGTTTACTCTCTCGGGTTTTGCAATCGCAGTTGTTCCTGTTTTGTTCTTTTAGGCTTGTCATGACTTTACTTTGAACAGTTCCTCCTTTCTCACTGATGTCTAGAGACGACGCTCACAGCAGCTTGTGATCGGTGTAAAATCTACATTTTATGTAGTGGAAATGTTAGTGAAAAAAGCACAAAGGCAGGTTTATGTAATTTTTTGGCTGTTTTTTAAGAAGAAGAAAAAACGTTTATACACATTTTATCATGTTATTGTTGTAATTCAACCAGAAATTATTTACTGTGACTTTATTTTCTAGAATATTTTGTTTTTGTTGTTTATGCATTTTAATTTAGAAGAGTGGCTGGGCTCTCCCTTAGAGATAGGGTGAGAAAATTGTTCATTCGGGAGGGGCTCGGAGTAGACCCGCTGCTCCTCCACATCGAGAGGAGCCAGTTGAGGTGGCTCGAGCATCTGGTCAGGATGTTTCCTGGACGCCTCCCTGGTGAGGTTTTCCCGGGCACGTCCAACCGGGAGGAGACCTAAAGGGAGACCTAGAACACGGTGGAGGGAATATGTCTCTCACCTGGCCAGGGAACGCCTTGGGATTCCCCCGGAGGAGCTTGCCCAAGTGGCTGGGGAGAGGGAAGTCTGGGCCTCTCGCCTCAGGCTACTGCCCCCGCGACCCGACTCCAGATAAGCGGATGAAAATGGATGGATGGATGGAATTTAGTTTGTATTTGTTCAATAAAATTAATTTATATTTAATGGTTTAATTTTGTATATTTCATTAACTATTCACAGCATTTGAGGCGCAACACATTCATTTATAACTGAAATGGTTTCCGACTAAATCCTGATTTTCCCTTCGGCAAAAACGATTTATTAACCTGATCTTCTCACATTTTTATTCTCATTATTATATTTCCTTAAAGGTCTCTGTGAATGCTGCATACACCATACGGTGCAACAGTTTAAACCCGTTAAATCAAAAGTACCTTAAAGCTGCACAAAACCTCTGAAGAGCAGCAAACTAAAGTACTGGGAGTACTTACAAGTGCCTGATGATTGTATCCGGCATGTTTCATCTGATAAATCCGTCGGCGTTGAAGCGATCCGTGAACCACATGTTGTTTCTGCACAGCTCTCAGCGCTGTGTTCCTCCTCCTCCTCCTCCTCCTGGTCACTTCATGTGATCACGTCAGTGTCTCTGAGGTCACAACTGGAGCCAAAGTGTCTGACAACAATCAGAAGAATCCTTAAATTACTTTAAAAATCCAGAAATGCATTTTGAAAAAGATTCAGAGTTAAATTGTGTCCAAATCTGTGAAAATAAACGTGTTTGTCTTCCTGTGTTGAAGTTTCTCTTCTGGATGAAGACACAAGTAGATGGGTCTTCCCTCCCTGTCCCTATGTCATCTTCACCTCTCCGTCTTTCACCGCCCCGTCTGTCCCCATCACCCGTCTTTGCCAAGAAGACACAATGATCGAGGTGGATGCCAGAGTCCTGGTTCTGGCAAAGGAGAGGTGGGAGAGTGGGGTGGGGGGTGGGGGGAGTTTTCCGCTCCCTGCTGGACAAGAGGATGTGCTCATACAATGTGGTGGCTGCTGATAAGAGCCTCAAAGCTGCCTGTGGTCTTTAGATAAGGACTCACTACCACCCCTTCTCTACATCCCCATCAACACACACACACACACACACACACACTGGCAGGTTGACGCCTGCACGGATGCACACACAAACATGGCACCAAGTTGGTCAGTCCCAGACTTTGAAGGGAATGCTGGATGTTTTCCAGGCAATCTTGTGCCACTACACTAACATCACAATGAGCATAACAGACCATGTAGCATCCACACACACACACACACACACACACGGAAATATGTACACAAAAACCAAACAGGACACCATTAATAATAATAATAATGCATTGAACTTATATAGCGCTTTTCTAGATCCCCAAAGACGCTTTCACACACTCTCACATTCACACACTGCTAGTGATGGTAAGCTACTTGTAGCCACAGCCGCCCTGGGGAGGTCTGACAGAGGCGAGGCTGCCATTTGGCGCCGTCGGCCCCTCTGACCACCACTAACACAGGCAAGTTGGGTGAAGTGCCTTGCACAAGGACACAACAGCACGATACCCCTGGCGGGAGCTGGAATCGAACCCATGACCCTCCGATCATGAGGCAACCCGCTCTACCACCTGAGCTACTGCTGCCCCATTAGCTACTGTTATAGCTTCATTTGACTCAGTTCAGGTAAAATGCCCCCAAAACACATCCTGGACCGGTTCAGAAGGATAATCAGCACACTCGTAACCCATTTATGATTTACATGAATTTGATTGTTTCCACCTCTCAAATGTGAAGAAAATCAAAGTTTAAAGAGGACTTTGCTTTTTAAAGCTACTGGATTAACGAGCATCTGAACGCAGAATATTAAAGAAAAAATAAAAGCACGACGCCGATGAAAGCCAACCTCCTCTATTCCGGTTCACGTTGATGCTTGCTTCATGGTTTTGACACCAGAACTCACAGCTGTGTCACTAATGACCACTGCACAAGCCGTCGTCTTGTGCAGTGGTGCAGTACTTTCCTCTCCAAGAGCTCTGAACTTCCTTCCTACAGACAGTCTATGAGCCGTTCTCAGTGCCGACTCGTTCCAGTCAGAATGTGTGTGTGTATGTGTGTGTGTGTGTGTATGTGTGCGTGCGTGCATGTGTGTGTGTGTGTGTGTGCGCCACCCTCAGGGTCAGAGCGTCTTTCACCTCCAGCCCCTGTTCAGGCATTTCCTCCTTACACAAACAGTATAGGGCCTTTACAGTTACCTGACCTTTGAGGTCCTGGGAAAACAACCAGGTTTGCAAAGCAATAAATCTGTCACCATCATTGTTATTTTGTGATTTTTCTCACCTTTGTTATCACAACAAACAATCGGATTCCGTCTGATTCTGGGATGACTGATGCAGACAGCGAACAGGTCGTCACGCTGCGGTGCGTCTGACAGCTGTGGTTCTGGCTGATCACACCCACAGGGAGAGGAAGACGTTGCGCAGCGGCACCGTTGAGCTCGCAGATGCATCGTGAATTTGCCTGTAACACATAAAGAGCTCCTCGAGGGACACCGAAAATCCTCGGGGATCACCTTGTCCCGTTGCCTTGCGGAGCAATCTTCAGATAAAGACAAATCAATCTTCTACAGTTGAGTTTAATGTTTCTGATGTGACTTACCTGGAAGTTCAACACAGAACTTAAAAACTTAGTACTTCGAATTGGTAAATGCTTTCATTATAATGTGTGTTGTGTTTGTTGGAAATACATTTGGATGAAAATATGGTAGAGCAGGGGTGTCAAACTCATTTTAGCTCAGGGGCCGCATTCAGGGAAATCTAGTCCCAAGTGGGCTGGACCGGTAAATTAAAAACAACTTCAGATTGTTTCCTTTGTTTTAATACAATCCATATAAAACAAGGCTGGAGCCTGAGGACAGTGTATCCAAAATAGTACAAGTACAACACCTGAGGTGTACTTGAAAATTTGAAAAACATTAAAAATCAATAAATGAAAATAAAAAAACATTCCTTAGTGATTCAAAGAGCTTAAAGATCACATGGCTAGATCAGTTTCATGCAGCACTTAAAGTATATTTGACTCACTTTACTTTTACATCTTTTAGCTTTCACCAGCACATCAACATCAGAAGTCACATCCTGAGTGGCGGCCAACTTCAGGATGTGATTCAAGTTCTTGTGTGAGCCTTGAGCGCAGCTTTGTTTTATTTATACTCATTACAGAGAAAACTTGCTCACAAAGATAAGTTTATTTTCACTCTACATTGCAAAGTTTGAAAATAAACCATCTCGCGGGCCGGATTTAATCCGCTTGCGGGCCGAATCCGGCCCGTGGGCCGCATATTTGACACCCCTGTGGTAAAGGCTTGAAGACCATCTGCAGGCAGCTGGATGTTCTTGTGCCACAGGAACATAAAGTTGACAGAATTCCCCCCCCCCCCCCCACCCCACCCCACCTCCCCCAGGACCTGAAGGCAGGAGCAAACGCAACCCCATCAGCAACGCCAAACAAAACTTTCACCACAAAGTTTCTAATTAATTGCATTTCAAAAGCTACCGATTAGTCCCCAAGCGGTTTCCTTTCTTCCTTTAAAGGATTTCTCCTCTCTGGAACGAACACAAGATGAACTGTGGACTTTCTCATAAAGGGCCAGCCTGAGCGCTCAAACTGTAAATAGGGAATAATAATAGAAACAAACGATAACAGACCGCTTCCGCTTTCCCCCTGAGTGAGGAAGAAATCAAGAGAGGATTGTTTTAATCTGAGAGCGGCGCTGCAGCGCCCTCCCCCTCGCTGCCTTAAAATAGGAGAATCGATGGGGGAGACTTCAAGTGAAATGTGTGTGTGTGTGTGTGTGTGTGTGTGTGTGTGTGTGTGTGTGTGTGTGTGTGTGTGTGTGTGTGTGTGTGTGTGTGTGTGTGTGTGTGTGTGTGTGTGTGTGTGTGTGTAGGGATGAGTACCGAATTCGGTACTTTTTAAGGTACCGACCGAATTCCACCGAACACCGATTCACGTCATTTCAAACGGTGCCTCGTTTCGGTACTGCCAAGACAGTTGCGCATGCGCAAGAGCGTTATGTCGCCGGTCCCTGCGAGCCCGTTGTAAACAGAGCAAGCATGGTAGAAAGAACGCACGCTAAAGCTTGGGTCCACTTCACTAAATGTGATGGGTAACTGGGTGATAAAACTAGCGACAGACAACGATCTAAGTGAGACATCCTCATCTTAATCTGCTCCAGTAGGTAAATAAAATGTTTAAGATAACGTTACCTTGATTTGTTAGCTTCCGTTTCGCTAATGGTGCGTTCGCTTTCTCCTCGGAACTCCGAATTTCCGACTAGAAGAACATGAACGCGCTCTAAAGTTTGGCTTTACTTTACTAAATGCGGCGGGTGATTAGGTGAAGGTAAAACCAGTGACAACGATCTAAGTTTGAGGCATCATCGTTTTAATCTGCTCCAGCAGCTAAATAAACCGTTAAAGATAACGTTAGCTTGATATGTTAGCTTCCATTGCCACCGTTGTTATCAGCTAATGGTGCGTTCGCTTTCTCCTCGGAAATTCTATCTTCCCAGTTGGAAAAATCAAATGAAAAAGGACGGCAAAAGGAATGAAGATACACAGTAAATTTAGTTCACAGTAAAGATGTTTGCTTCAGTTTAATTATCAGCTTATAAAACTACAAGGACGATGTTAAAATACAAACTTGTATGTTATTTATCGTGATAGTTACCAAATATGGTTATATATTGAGAAAAATATATATTTAATTATAAAAGAGAATTAAAATAATAAACACTCAAAAGTATCGAAAATTGGTACCGTTAAGTACCGGTATCGACTCGTAGGTACCGGGAATTAGTACCGGATCGATTCAAATGTCAAAGGTACCCATCCCTATGTGTGTGTGTGTGTGTGTGTGTGTGTGTGAGAGAGCTGCAGCAGCTTAATGTTAAATGTGTGAATCTCATCACCCTGCAGAGCTGATTGTTTGTGGCGATCGTCCGACTAAATTGTGAAATGTATTTCCAGAATGCACCAGACATCTCTATTAAGGTCCATGTTAGAACTTCCTGGTGGTGAATCCACAACATGAGGTTCACATCCTCAGCGTGGCTTCGTTGTTGAAAACATGAACCAGAATTAGTGGAGGCCATGACCCTTGCTAGAGAAAACGCACAACTACCAATGCTGAATTTGGGTTCTACCTGTGCAGAGGTTCTAAGTTTGCCAAGCGTGGTGATGTGTAAACCCAGCAGACCACCTTTGGAAGTAAACAGCGTTCCTGCAGCAGCTCTCACACACTAAACACTTCCTGGTTTTCACTCAAAGTTGTGCCCACAGCGCATTAATTAACAGGCTCTTTACTGTCCCCTGAGTACCAAGTATTTACCCAGTACTAACGTGGTGCATTTCAGGTAATGATTGAGTATTTGTTAATTAATTACAGAGTAATTGCAAACAAACGGCATTATTTCTGAGTAAAATGTGACTCTCCGAGTGTGCTTGGCTGCAGAGGCTTGGTTCTTGGTTGTCTGTTCTTCAACCAAACTAAGTTTCTGCTTCCAAACTTTATTTTTATCCAATTGCAGAATTATTGACCAAAAGCTTGGTTCAATACTCAGGGGAGCTTTTAGTAAAGGGTTATGGCAGCTTCAGTGTCAGAGTTGGAAATTAACATATAGCTCACCGTGATGCTAGCTAAACAAATAATTGCTCATGTATAAACCTAGACATTACTAACCAAACAATTAGTCTAAACACCGAAGTAGTCAGACATGAAAACATGTCAGCGGTGAAAAAGGTGAGACGCCCACCACTCGTGTGCCTGGAGACAATTAATTGGGGAAAGTAGCGACTACTCTCATAAGCTGAAAGCTATAATTATCACAATTATAACATTATATCTGGCTTTGCATGTAATAAGTAAGTCTCATAGATTTGTTTCACCACTGAATTACTGAAATAAAATAACTTTAGCAATATATTGTCATTTTTTTGGGTTTCACCTGTTATTTCACCAGAAAAGAAACAAAACAATGCCCTGATCAAAGCAAACACAGCAGGTGACACACATTCCAATTCCCTATAATTCGGGTCTGGATATGAAGCAAAACAGGAAGTACCAAAAATTGCAGTTCCACCCTCATCCACTAGGGGCTGGTACCAGAAGCGAGCAAATCCTCATCGACTCCCACGTTAAAAATACCAATTTCACAGCAGAAATAAACATGTTTACAGCCTGGTACCAAAACATGTTTTTGGTTTAAATGATCTAGTTTACACTCATGACAACTCTGAGGGGGGTGAATTTTTTTTGTCACTCGCTCTTCTGTTTGTGTATTAAAAGCCTAAAATTTTGTATAATTAATGAGCATCCGACCCACGTGACCGCAGAGCCAGCTCAGTGGAAAGGCCTCAGTCTGAGCCTCGGCCTCACCTGAAAACTGTTCAGCCATTTTCAGTCTCTCAACTTAGACCATTAGTTGTTGCGTTTGCACGTTCTTTTTTGGATATTATTTGTGCAATTGTTGGGCAAAATGACTTGCTGTGGTATTAATTGCACTAATAGAGCATCCAAGAAGTCTCCACTTCATTTATTTTGGTAAGTAAAATTATATTTATGTATTTTAAATGGTAAATGGTAAATGGCCTGTATTTGTTATAGCGCTTTCTAGAGTCCTAGAACCCCCCAAGGCGCTTTACAACACAATCAGTCATTCACCCATTCACACACACATTCACACACTGGTGGGGATGAGCTACAATGTAGCCACAGCTGCCCTGGGGCGCACTGACAGAGGCGAGGCTGCCGAGCACTGGCGCCACCAGTCCCTCCGACCACCACCAGCAGGCAAGGTGGGTTAAGTGTCTTGCCCAAGGACACAACGACAGCGACAGACTGAGCGGGACTCAAACCAGCAACCCTCTGATTTTGGGGCGAGCACTTAACTCCTGTGCCACCGTCGCCCCACTGCCGCTCTTGCACTAGCTGAGTTTATCAAAGTAGCTCGCTAACTACCATTTTAACATGTACTGTTTAACCATGAAATTTAAATTTAATAGGGTAAAACCCAGTGCATTTAACATAATGCTGCATTTTTAAAAATGGGGTGAAATATGACATGTTGGTGGAGCTGGGATCCGACTATATATATATATATATATATATATATATATATATATATATATATATATATATATATATATATATATATATACACACACATATAATCAACAAGAATATTTTGTGTGTATATATTTTCATATATTCACACAAAAAGCATTATGTTGATTATATGTGTGTGTGTATATATATATATATATATATATATATATATATATATATATATATATACATACATGCACACATATATAATCAACAAAATGATAGTGTGTGTGTGTGTGTGTGTGTGTGTGTGTGTGTGTGTGTGTGTGTGTGTGTGTGTGTGTGTGTGTGTGTGTGTGTGTACACAAAATCATTTTAATAATTTCCAAAAAAGGAAAAAAGATAAATAAATCATATATGTAAATATGTAAATATGTATAAATAAATTCTAATTTATTTATTTATTTAAAGAGCAAGTCACCCCAAATCAACTTTTTTTGCTGATAAACTATATAAATGAGTGTCTGATTGTGCTGCAGACAAATGCAGTCAGTAATACGGCACTTTAGTGCATCTTAGGTAAAATTTAAATATTCTGCCTAAAACTGTCAGTGTTGCACCCTCTTCAGGTAAAAACTCAGCACTGCATTTTAATTTAAATCTGCCATCGCTATTGGCTAAGAGGTACACTATGATGTTAGCTGGTACATTATGATGTCACAATATCGTGAGTGTGTGTATTTGTTAGCGGCTCTGCCCTCTCGTCCTGCTAGGCAACAGCATTTGTTGCATTTTTCAAACAGGAAGTGGGAGATGAGTAAGAATCTGGTGGGGGGGGTGACTTGCTCTTTAAAAAAGGAGAACAAAGGGAAAAAAGTGATAATCATGGACAGAGAGGATAAAAGGAGGGAATGTAATGACATCATACCAGTACTTGTGACATCATCATAGGGATAGCACCTCTATTGCACACTCGTCCAGCTATTGAACAGAGGACAAGATTTTCAGAAATCAACCATGACTGCCTTATCTTATGTGGAATTATTTTACCTCAGCAAGCAACTGGGGAGGGAAAGAGATGAATTGTCTCGAAAAGTCACGGATTATGAACGAGATATTCGGGTTTTGACAGAGAAACACGCGGCAGAAAAATTGAAATTTAAGGAGACGTATGAGAAGGATCTTAAACAAAAAGATGTTGATAAGAACACTAAAATTAAAAAAGCAAATGAAGAGATTGCTCGTTTGAAAAACAAGATCTCACAACAAGAGGAGTCTATTAAAAAACTCAAACAGGAGAATAAATCTCTTAAAATATGTGACAAAAAACTGAACAAAATGACTCTTGATGAAGAGACCCTAAAAGATAGAATTACGACCATCAAGGAAAATAACGAAAAGCTCAAAGCAAAAAATTTGAAGTTAGCTCAAGAGATTCTCGCACTTCATAAACAGAGAGACCTTCAGAAAGAAGAAGATTCTTTACATGTTAAAGAGAAGATGATAGAGAAACTCCAGCTTGATCTGGAAACCTGTAAGTTGTCGAACCAATCATTTGAGAATGATTTATTGGATGCAAAGAAAGAAATCAACAGACTGCAAAAGCAGATTAAAGATACAGAAGCACAGGAAACCATAGCCTACAAGGAGAAAGTCGTAGCCTTACAAAACCAGACAGAGAAATGTGAGGCTTTGATTGATGAGCTGTGGCAAGCCAAGCGGGACTTAAAAAGAGCCAGGGATGAGCGTGAAAATGCATGTAAAACCATGGAGCAACTACGAGAGGAAATGGAAGAAATAAATAGAGAAAAAGAAAGTATGTTTGTGGATATTTATCACAAACAACTGAAGATAGATGGCTTGGGAAAGAAATTAGATGGCATCAAGGCAAATTTGAAAGTAGAAAAGGAGACTAACATTTTGTTGCGTGAGAAGTATCTTAAGGAAAAAGAAAGCGTACCTCAGAATGTATACAAGAATAAGGCGGAATGCCCATCATCAGATCTTAATATGTGGCATTTGAAAGTACAAGATGAATTAAATACTCCCAGTACGCCCAAATTTTCTAAGCGGTTTGACTTTAGACCCAAAGACGTTGCACCTTTCCGATACAACGGTAATGTTGTTAAACTCCCCCCCATAAACCAACCTGTTGGACACAATGTGTACACAAAGAAACCCTTTAGGGGACCACATCCTAATCCAGATCACTGTAACATTTTCAACACGAGCGGCTCAAACTTCCTTTACATTCGGCAGACATAGTCAACTTAGATCTTATATTCTAATTTACCTTCTGAGGAAGCATGGCTCGTAGTTAACACAAAGTCAGAGGTCTTGTCAGAAGACAGATGACAGAGCTAAACAGATATAATTCATCGTGGGTACGTACGAAGCTACGGCCGAGCTTGAACCCAAACAGAGGCAGAGCTTCTATCCTAGTTTACAATACCGTTGGAAAGTAAAATTATTGAATAAGTGCAGCTGTTTAAGGCTTCACGTGAATCTTAAAACATTTAGTAGTGAAACGTTGTTGCAGAACGTTAAGCAACGATACGTGGTTTCAGATGGGTGAGAATCGGGAGGCTTACCGTGAAATGCTTGTAGATGCTGACCTGCTATTGAAACGTTTAGTTAACCATTTATAAATCAGAGATCACCGATGACGACAAGAAAATAGTCTCCTACAACGATCTCCAGCATTAGCTCTAGAAAATAGACGGTGAGACTCTAGGATATGAAAATCCTGACAGATCTAGGTCACACTTTCAAAATAACATGGCCTCCACTAACTTAACTCACGACAGGGAAGGCTGTTGTTGGCTTAGCGTCCAGCAAACAGCAGAGAACGTCTCGACTAGTAGAAGCTAACTGTTAGGATTAGCAACTCCACCACTCCAGGCTTGTGTCATTTGTGGAGATAAAACTTCAACGTTACAAAACAAACAGTGTCAGTGTTAGAGCTCGTTTCTGTTAGCCAATCAGAGACGAGATGTCCAAATATTAGAGATGCTTGGCACCGGCCCAGCTAATTCAAGTTTATTTATATAGCGCCAAATCACGACTAGAGTAATCACAAGGCACTTCCCACACAGGTCAGTTTATTAAGCCAGTCAGTAAAAAGTTTTCTATTGACCCTTTGCCCTTTTGATCGAAATGAAACTCCTGCTTTATGCTTTGCAGGCGTTTGCAGGAACAGCGCCACCTAATCTCTCAGAGCTTTTAATAAGGTATGTTTCTACTCGACCTCTCCGCTCTGCAGATGAGGATTTATTGGTCGAGCCTAGGTTTAGCTGCAGGTCTCGAGGAGAGTGAGCCTTTGCAATGCTGGCCCCAAGACTGTGGAACAAAGACTCTGCATTATTCTGGTAGAAGTCCAGTCCCTGTTCGAGTTCATTAATAGAAACCTTGTGCTCCTCACATTCAACCTCAAGCTTAAATGTTCTCACCTTTTCTTCCTGGCACCATTTGTTCACGATTTCCAGCTCTGATTGGAAATATCTCGGCTTGACCGAAAGAAGATCAACATTTTTTGTAAATCTCCAAATGATTCCTGCTGGACAGTCACAGATGGAGAATTTTCTTGTTGATTAGACATAATTACAGAGTTTTTTGTTTGTTTAACAGGCATAAAACTGTGTCTCAGAGAATATAGACTGGGGGGGGGGAGGGGTGACGTCACAAAGGAAATGCAAATTAGGGGGCGGGGCGTAATTGAGGGACGCGCTGCAGACGCTGACAGAACCGTTGCTGTTCTGCACGGGGGGGGGGGGGGGGGGGGGGGAGAGGAGGGGGGCGGCTCGGGATCCTTCGACTGCCGATGACGTCACATTACTGCAAATCTACTCGCTTTCACACACACGTTTTGGAAAGACATCAGCAGTTTTGTTAATAAATTCTTGTTTGTTGACACCTAAATGTTTTCTTTACAATTGTAATTTGTTTAAAAAAAAACATATTATCTTTGTTTTGTAAAGAATGTGAAACTGCATAGAACCCACATCGGACTGACAAAAAATAGAACAGTTCTTATATGTGAAGCCATATCTGTCACGTTTAGGAGGGATGGTAGAACCCAAATTGCAGAACCCAGGAAGGACACGAGGCAGGAGTTGATATGTAAGGTAAAAATCCTTTATTTGGAGGAGGAACAAAAATAAATCCAAATGGCAGCGAGCCAAAATTCCAGAAGAACTAAAGCTCACTTAAGAGCACAGACACAGAGTGACATGACAAGGCTTATAAACAGGAGGGGGGTAATCAGGGAAACAGGTGACAGGTGTGAGGAGTGTGAGCTGAGGAGACACTGGTGGAATCATTTAACAAAATGGGAAGGGAAGGAGCTTGACCAGAGGGCAGATAAACGTTAACCTATAAACACAAAACTAAACCTAAAGACTGAGGGCCAAAAACAAACAACTAATAACTAGACGGATGAGGAGGACTTAATAAAGATTGAGTAGGAATGGGGAATGATTAGAAGGACACCTGAGGGAAGTCTACAGAGGGCTGGAGATAATAATGGGACACAAGAGGATGACCTGGAGTGGGAACGGTGGAGGGGTTGGGAAACAAAGGGACACAGAACATGACAGTACTGGAGATATGGGAGACTGGGAGATATGGGAGACTGGGAGATATGGGAGACTGGGAGACTGGAGATATGGGAGACTGGGAGATATGGGAGACTGGAGATATGGGACACTGGGAGATATGGGAGACTGGGAGACTGGAGATATGGGAGACTGGAGATATGGGACACTGGGAGATATGGGAGACTGGGAGACTGGAGATATGGGAGACTGGAGATATGGGACACTGGGAGATATGGGAGACTGGGAGACTGGAGATATGGGAGACGGGGAGATATGGGAGACTGGGAGATATGGGAGACTGGAGATATGGGAGACTGGGAGACTGGAGATATGGGACACTGGGAGATATGGGAGACTGGGAGACTGGAGATATGGGAGACTGGAAGACTGGAGATATGGGAGACTGGGAGATTTGGGAGACTGGAGATATGGGAGACTGGAGATATGGGAGACTGGGAGATTTGGGAGACTGGAGATATGGGAGACTGGGAGACTGGAGATATGGGAGGATGCATCAGCGCATTGCATCCTGTTCCGGTGGTGGTACTAGAGGACGCATCGCATCCTGTTCTGGCGGTGGTACCGGAGGACGCATCGCACCCTGTTCCGGCGGTGGTCCCGGAGGACGCACCACATCCGGTCCAGCCTTTCCAAGAGGCTCCGGTCCAGCCCGTCCAGGCCCGAAGTCGACGCCTCCCGTCTCGAAGTCGACGCCCCCAAGTGAGATGTCGACGCCCCCAGGCCAGAAGTTGACTGAAGTAGACTTTTCCAGCTCTGAAGTAGACGTCTCCACACCTCAAGCCTCGACGCCCAAGTCTCAAGCCTCGACTGGAGATATGGGAGACTGGGAGACTGGAGATATGGGAGACTGGAGATATGGGAGACTGGGAGACTGGGAGATATGGGAGACTGGAGATATGGGAGATTGGGAGACTGGAGATATAGGAGACTGGGAGACTGGAGATATAGGAGACTGGGAGATATGGGAGACTGGGAGATATGGGAGACTGGGAGACTGGAGATATGGGAGATATGGGAGACTGGGAGATATGGGAGACTGGGATACTGGAGATATGGGAGACTGGGAGACTGGAGATATGGGAGACTGGAGATATGGGAAACTGGGACATATGGGAGACTGGGAAATATGGGAGACTGGAGATATGGGAGACTGGGAGACTGGAGATATGGGAGACTGGGAGAGTGGAACGCTTCAGACTTGGGCATCGAGGCTTGAGACTTGGGCGTCGAGGCTTGAGGTGTGGAGACGTCTACTTCAGAGCTGGAAAAGTCTACTTCAGTCAACTTCTGGCCTGTGGGCGTCGACATCTCACTTGGGGGCGTTGACTTCGAGACGGGAGGCGTCGACTTCGAGACGGGAGACGTCGACTTCGAGACGGGAGACGTCGACTTCGGGCCTGGACGGGCTGGACCGGAGCCTCTTGGAAGGGCTGGACCAGATCCTCTTGGAAGGGCTGGACCGGAGCCTCTTGGAAAGGCTGGACCGGATGTGGTGTGTCCTCCGTTACCACCGCCAGAACAGGATGCGATGCGTCCTCCGGTACCACCGCCAGAACAGGATGCGATGCGTCCTCCGGTACCACCGCCAGAACAGGATGCGATGCGTCCTCTGGTACCACCGCCGGAACAGGATGCAATGCGTCCTCAGGGACCACCGCCAGAACAGGATGCGATGCGTCCTCCGGTACCACCGCCAGAACAGGATGCGATGCGTCCTCTGGTACCACCGCCGGAACAGGATGCAATGCGTCCTCAGGGACCACCACCGGAACAGGATGCGATGCGTCCTCAGGGACCACCACCGGAACAGGATGCGATGCGCCGATGCACCGGAACAGGATCCTGCACCCGAGCAGATCCTGTACCGACAACGGACGTTAATGCAGCTCGAATGGCTGCGTGCACCCTGGCCGGAGTCATGCGTTGTGCAAAAGTGCATCAGTTTAGTTGACAGACTTGGATCTTTGACGATTTGCCACGTTTGTTTTCCATGTACTTTAACAGGTTGTATGCATTATTGTTTTATTTCCAAGGGAGACATGCATTTAAACAATGGCTTTATGGCTTTGGATCAATATTTGTTGCTTGATATACACTTTGACATTCATGTTGCTGTTTTTTATATGAATGCTTTTTTGCCGTTTCTTGATTTTTAATTCAGAATTAATAAACTAATTTACTGATACTTTTTGTATTCCTTGAAATAAAAAAAGAACAGAAACTCTTTTATGGATTTACAGTAATAAAATTACAGCAAATCGGTAATGAAACTACAGTGAAATTGTTATGAAATTACAGTAAAAAAGTTATTAAAGCGGGCTAGCTAGCAGCCCTGCTGTCAGCAAGCTACTGTAAAATTTACAGGAATTTTAACAGTGAGAATTTTTTATGGAACATCAGAAAACATTTCTAAATATTATAACATGCAGTGATTACCGACCAGGGGAAATGTTATATTGTTTTACCCAGATGAGAGCATTCTCTGTGCCTTGGTGAAAAAAACAACAACATTAGGCTGGGATGTGTTATGTTTTATGAATACTCAAATATAGTAATGCACGGTAGTATAAGGCTGATATCATATTATCAATTTAGGCCCACCTCGACTGGGCATGGATTTTGTCAAGCTGTGTCAGCCAGCGCAAAGCATGGGAATTAAAGGGGCATTATGGAA